GTGTGTGTGTGTATACCTAATCTGTAGGGTGTTCACACGATGCGTAATTAATTACATAACTTTTGGTTAACTTTACTTAGAAGTTTATTAATATTTATGTCATATTAATTTTTATTCTGTCATATATGATCGTCAAATATCACGTCCTTAAATATCGATAGTAATTCACCAGTCACCCTGTATAAGTCAAATGAACCATAACTGTTTTAGAACTGTCATTTACGTTTACAGAAGTAAGGTTTGCTGTTAGCTATTAGCACTACCTTTAATACGAGGTCGCTGTTACGGTCATATAGTTCAATGAACTTGTATTTAGTATCGAATATAATATTCATATAATAATAATCATCATAATACTTCAGTTTGCAGAAAAACTAAATGATTGTGATAAACACCATAATATTATCTCAAATACCTTTATTTATACCTAAATGTAATATTTATACTTATTTATACCTTTTACGTCTTACTATATACGTATACCTACATTTTTTTTATTAGTTTATCAAATATGAATTACTTAAAGCTTTATTTTTTAATGTTTTTACTTACCAATCTTATTTATATAAAACCTTTTTACTCTTAATATCCTGTACGAATTTGACACAAAGATGACTGTCAGAATGACAGATACATTTTTTTTATTATGTCAAATCATCATCCTTAGTACACAGCCACCCTTGATGTCAATCAATAAAACATTACTACAATGTGTACATTGTCAAGCTATAATGTAGGATGTTTCTGAACAAGTTTAATTGTATATAATAAGATTCAAATTATTCATGCACATATATAATATGTGAAATAATAGACGTGTTATAGTGGAACCAGTTAACCTTTTCCGTTATAACTTACCGGTACTTAAAATTATCGTTTGTAATGATGTGAATGGTACTAGCTATTATTATTTAGATACTACTGTTATTAAAGGGATTTTTTATGACGTCACGTCATTTTCGTCTGTCTATCGCGTTGCATTACAGTTTGCTGTAGGGAAGGGGAAAAGTGACAAGTTCTTGTCTCTCTTCTTCAGGCAGGCGGCTTGTCGTAAAAACAATAAGCTAAAACTATTCACAACATGTAAGGCAGACCCTGGCTAAAGCTGGGAAATTGCCAGGAAGAAGATAATTCCCTGAATGGAAAAACCAAACCTTATATCTATTAAGGTGGTGAGCTCACTTTTAAACACCAACCCGAAAAAACTAAGAGACAGGTTATTTTTTAAGGTTTTGATGTCATAATAAAAATAATTATGACGACTTCAAAAATATATAGTTATTTTAAAATGTTTTCTTAACATATTTTATTTATAAGATCATATATTCACTATAATTTTAATAGGTTCAAAAAATATTTCACCTTTCGATAAGGTAATCTGTTTACTTTCCGTCGAAGTCATGTGATAGAACGAAATAATTTTAATATTAACACTATAAAAGGCTATGTAATTTATTTGATTTTAATAAAAAATAAATCAAATAATCTTAAACCAAAATTAACTTTTCCGGAACGCTTTTTCAATACTCGTATAACAAAAATGTTATAATTAATTAACATATTTATTTCTTAATTGTTGACTTTCGGAATTTTTTACTTTAATTAATATGAAATTTAATAAATTTGAATGTAAGTTGTGGAATTTTTCAATATTTATTTCTCAAGGATTAATTTATATCCTGATAATAAATATATTAATTTAATTTATATTGTCGGAAAGGGTTTTGTCTATATAAAAGTATTGCATTCCAATAACAATACAAATTTACCATTGGAGTGATCTCTTTAAGGTATCGGAAGGTCTGAAAATGTATGCTTCGAATAAAAAATATTTCTTTGTGTTTTAATATTTTAAATATGACTTTTGAGAAGGAAAGATATATTTAAAAATATCAAACAGAAGACAGACATATAGAAATATGGAGAGACAGAAGACTCTCTATTATTAATAATTAACCGAAGGAAAATATGTACATGTATATTATGTCCGGGAACATTAAAATACTAAAATATAATTAATTAATATTTATTTCGTTGAGTACTCAATACTTAATATATTTTTTTCAGATAAACAACTGACATTACTGATTGAGTTTATATTTAGATAATATATTTATTTTAATGTTATTTATAACCGGTAAATGCATGACAAAAAAAGGGAATTATATTAGGTACTTCTCAAAAATCGTCTTAATTGGCGTAATTATATTTTTTATAAACATTTAAATATCGATATGGAATTTTCCGTCGAAACTTACTCGTTTTATAATATTATAGAATAACACAAACAAACAACATATTGAATGATGCCGGCCGTTATATAACAAGGTCGAATATATAACCACATATTATTGTTGTTAACAAAACTTTTACTTTCATCCATCAAGGAGTTAAAAAAATCAATGTTTATTTATCCTAATCTTCTTAAACCTAGCAATTTCCCAGCTTTAGCCACAGTCTGCCTTAGATGTTGTGAATAGTTTTGGCTAATATTTTTTAAGACCAGCCACCTGCCTGATATCAACCCTCTTTGGAAATGCATTAATCAGTGACGTCTAAATACTCTTAAAAAGTACATATGACTTGGAAAAATCACATTGGCTTTTTAAACACTATGCCACCACTGACTTTTTTTTGTTTATTTCTCTTAATATATTTGTAATAAAATTCATAATTAAGTTAAAGTAAACCAGCTGTTTGAAACCCGAAACAATAGAATTCTGCCTTTTGTTTGTTTGTTGGAATTTAAATTCACAGACGTTTCTGGATTTTGGTCAATTAAGATTTTTAACGTCACCTTATCTCGCGTGCGATCTGTATAAACAGGTTGACTGAGCCAACGTCGAAAACTTGTTTATGAAATAATGTATTATTAAGAAAAAAAATCATTTAAATAGTATGTTCCCAATACTAAGAACGTATCTTATCTATAGTATAATTTGTCTATGGTCAACATAGTTTGTCTATCGTACAAGGTCTATACAATTGTTAATAATTGGTTTAGACAATCAATATTCTGTAAGGTACAAATCATTCATTCGTTTTGTTCATTCCCATTCACCATTCATTCAGTGTTTTGTAAAGCAAAGAAAAGAAACAATTACAATTATTAATTGACTGACTATTTTGTGGTTTCAAAACCATGACCTCAAACTTTATATTAAAAAAGCTAATTTTATTTGACACTAATATATAACGAGGAAGTATACCGTAAACAATCATTTGTATGCAAGTGAGTTTAATTACTAAGAATTCTTCAGAAATAAAACACAATGTGAGTCAAATCGATTCAATTCATAGAACAGATACATCACTCATCTCTTACCTATATTTGCATACATTGAATAACCACAGGGAAATGACGTGCATGTAAAAAAAATCGTAATTAATAGTAAAATATTTAAAAAAAAACATTCGCTTTTAACGTTTTCGTACTTCAATATATATTAATTTTATTCGTATACATAAGCTAAAGATTTCTATAAGAAACTGGATTTGTATCAAAACAAACCTCTACAAAGGTCAATATTCTATTAATCGTTAATTTGATAATAAGCTATTTAAATACCTATTCACATTTCTTCTATATAACTGTTGAATTTCAATAGAAACAATAAAATATCAAACGTCTTTAAAAACAGATCAAAAGAATTATATGAGTTACAGACAGATTACAGAACAATATATTTATATACATAGTACTATTTAATTCTTATAAATAAAAACAAATTGTTTTTTTTTTTACTATAGCAATGGTAAAAATTTAGACCTCAAAAGCAATAGAGTCTTTATTACTGATATTATTTTTTAATATATGTATATACATCTGAGATGAAATATAATTTTAGATACAAGAAAAACTGAATATTATTACCAACATTAATTACATAGAAACAGACTTCAACAAACCAGATTTAAGAATTATAGATTTGATTTGCTTCTAAAACTAGAACTACATCAAGGTTGAGTAATTTTAAGCTTATAATTATCTTTACATTTTGCAAATCGTATGAATTTTTTACTTACTTTTATTAATCAAACGAATAAATAGCTAAAAAATAAAATAGTAACATACAGTATTTATTTATAAATATAATGAAAACAATCTATTTCCTTACTGCAAATTAAATATTGCCCGATCATTTGACAAAAGTAATTTACTTTCAAAAAACCGCCTAGACTGGTTTGTACGTTCAAATCAATTAAGATTATTTAATAAACGATATAAATGTTATACAATATTACGTCATGACCAACAGTTTATGTGAAAAAAATATTATAAGGTTTTGACTAAAAAACAAGTACATATACATATATATAAATATACCACTTGCTCCGCAGACGTTGTTTTTTCCATATAAAAAAATAGGGGTTGGTGATAAAAAAAGTAAAAATTTTGGGTTGTATGTATTTTTAATGCTACATTATAAAAAAATACACAAAAAAATCGACCAAAAATTCTCAGACCTACTCAAAATTGTCACAAAATTTCATGAAAATCGGTCCAGCGGTGTCGGAGGAGTTCTCTGTCTAAGACCGCGACACGAGAATTTTATATATAAGATATATTTCGGAAGACCATACCAATGAGACGATAGCCTTATGTATATACCATACATTGTAACAAGTAGTAGAAAATGGAAGGCAAAAAAAACCTAAACTACTCGTATTAACCAAAACTGAAGTTAATTTAACAACTAAATGTACATATAGGTGGTAAAACAAATTAATTATTATTTTATAAGTCCATTAGTAATAATTACTTTATTATCTAATTAAGAATTAGTCAAAATACGGGCTGCATATAATTAATGTGTTGCATCAAAATAAATGTTTTAAAATTTACCTGTGAAGCTAAATATAGTAGGAACATAAATTTTTATTGCTTCACATTAAGCAAAGCAATAATTTAATACAATCATAATAAATTTGAAGATTTTTGACACTAATGCTTATCAAAATGATGAGATTTTTTTTGTAATAAGACCTATTTTTTACAGGACTTTTGCCTGAAGCATTAAGGACGAAGTGCGTTCGGTGTACAGAGAGACAGAAAAAAATCGCTGTCAAAATTATCAAACGTTTGAAGATCGAGTATCCTGACGAATGGGCGAAATTGCAGTCCAAGTGGGACCCGACTGGCGACTTTACCAGATACTTTGAAGTCTTCCTAGCTAATGAGCAGTTTAATTCAATTTCCGGAGAGGGTAAGATATAAGGAAATATGATTAATATGATTAAGTACCCTTTTAAGGCAACGGAATTGATACATAACGAACTAGGAAGATGAAAGGTTTGTTCTTGATTATTAATACTTTTTAAACTTCCGTAGGTAAGTTATATAAAAAAAGTTTCTATATAATAAAACGGAATCATAACATTTTCAATGTCAACATGTAGATACCTAACAGGGTAAATACGTAAATAAAACTTTACCTGGATGCAATTTAAGCAATTTTCTGTAAGTCAAAGAATTGCTGACAAAAAGTAAAATATTATTCGGCACTCAAATATCGTTTAATAACCAGTTTGGCAGTTGCTTTGTTATTTTTAAATTAATTATTTTGTTTATCGCTTTTTAATTCTTCTATATCGTCATCTACTCGAAATACAGTTGGACATTCTATTCACGTCTTAACATAATAAATTTTTATAGAATATATATTTTTATATCTCTAATAATCTTTTTAATGTCAAAGGTAAAAAGTCACATCGATTTCCTGTTAGATAGATCGTCTGACCGTTATCCTTGTAGAGGAAAATTGAATTGAAAATACGTAAAAAATTGTTTCTTTCTTCACAAAGTTCTAAAGGAATAATATATATGTATACATATATATATAGGTCGTAAAGTCTCAAAGACTATGTATATATTTTCTTTATTAAAATCTTATAATTGAATCGAATATTACATAAAATTATAATTTAATTTTAAGAAATTTAAAACATATATTTTTAAACTATTTACGTAAGTGTCAATAAAGTTTGTGTCGGAAGTGTACTATTAATTTTAATTGTGGCAACACTAACATTATATTTATAGCAAAGTGACTAAGAGCAAAATAAATTGTATCAGTAGGTTGGAACACACTGTTAGATTATTCCAGCATATATATTGAACAGGAAAACATAGTTTTTTATTATATAAATATCTTTATATATACATATAATGTTATATATATATTCCATAGTTACTGCTTTAATGATGGAAGCATTACATCTGTAGGAAACATTTTTTCTTTTGGAATCTCCTATTACTTAGAACTGATCGTACAAGATATTCTTAAAAGAAACAAAAAATGAAAACGAAATTTAAATTGTTGATTAAATAAAATTAATTCATCAATTAAGAATCAAAAACAAAATCAAAAGATGTTGCAATCTCAATTAATTTTTATTCCTATATTTTAAACTGTCATTTACTGTTACAATCATAATTATTGAATTTACGTATCGCATATTAAATTTATATCAATACTAGTTTTTGCCCGTGACTTCGTCCGCGTTAATTTCGTCAAGTAATATATGTATAGCTGACCGGGCGAACTCTATTCCGTCTTAAATAACCAGGTATTTATTAATTTTTTCCTGTTTCAATCCAACAGAATGATTGACATATTAGTTGTCAAATGTAATGTCAAAAGACGTTTGTATGGGAAATAGAAAAGGGCTGTTTTTAGGGTTTTCCCGGAAATGAATCAATTTTTTTCAGCTTTTTAACCTTCCCTGAACCTCCACGAACATTTCATAACTAAGATAAGATAAATCCGTTCAGCTGTTCTCGAGTTTTTATATATATAGACTAGTTTTTGCCCGCGACTTCGTCCGCGTTAATTTCATCATTAGTAATATATGTATAGCTGACCGGGCGAACTCTATTCCGTCCTAGAGGCCATAAATAATCAGGTTTTTCCTGTTTCAATCGAACAGAATGATTGACATATTAGTTAGTTGTCAAATCTAATGTCAAAGAAAACATTTGTATAGGAAATAGAAAAGGGCTGTTTTTAGGGTTTTCCCGAAAATGAATCAATTTTTCTCTCCTTTTATACCTTCCCTGAACCTCCACGAACATTTCAAGACTAAGATAAAATAAATCCGTTCAGCTGTTCTCGAGTTTTAGCGAGACTAAGGAACAGCAATCCATTTTTATATATATAGAAGATTTTAATATCGAATTTGATGGTAACGCAAGAAAATCATATACAGGTAACGAGCCATCTATGCCATCGCTACCATCGCTACCACCTCTACCACCTCAAACGAGCTCACCACAGCCAGCGACCACAGCCCCAACCCCACCACGGCCGTTGCTGCTGAACAGGTATTTCATATATGATATTAATATACATAAGTTATTACTAATCTTCTTCTTCCTGGCAATTTCCAAGCTTTAGCCAGGGTTTGCCTAACATGTTGTGAATAGTTTTTGGCTAATTGTTTTTACGACCGGCCGCCTGCCTGACATCAACCTTCTTTGGGGATGCATTAATCAGTGATGTCTAAATACACTTAGAAAGTACATATGACTCGAAAATATCACATTGGTACTTGCCAGGATCGAACCCGCGCGCTCGGCAACGAGAGGCGGGCCCTTTAACCACTAGGCCACCACTGACTCTCACCACTAAGTTATTACTAATATATTTATAAAAAACTTCTCAGTTTTCAGTCTTATATAGTTTAATTATACCTTAAAAGACAGTCTAAACCATAGTATCGCTTAACTCCATATAAAATTTTATACTTTCAATTCTCAGTCCGTCAATAAAAATTGTATAATTTTTTTTAACCTTTCAATGTTTTCTTAAATAAACTATTTATACTTGATAATTATTCGTTATTAAATCTTAGTATTAAAGCGAGTTTTGTAATGGAAATAGGAGATGTTTAGTATTTTTTAAGAAATTAATTATACTTTGACGACAGTTCCTTCCTATTTCACAAGTCCCCGAAACTAATTTATGTTTTAAAAAATATTTTTTATTATATTTTCGTTTGAGTTCGACCTAATGAATGAAGCGCCGAGTCGACCTCTCGTTAGCCGCTAATTTCTTAAGACGTCCTTCTATAATACTTTTACTAATATGTAATTAATTAATACGGCCTTTCAGACAAATAAGCATTAACACTAGAAGCTATATTTATATAAATTTATACGTATGAAACAAAATCATCAACGATATTAAATAAAACTAATATTTTTCGATGTACCTACTACGCGTTTTTTATTATTTTAAAAAACCTACTCTAGACGTCTCGGTTACTTTGCAGCAACTATGATAACGGACAGACGAGATGTTCTCACACTTATTAGTAGTAGTTTTCAAATATAATGAAACATGAGTATCATTTCAATTAAAATAATATTATACACCACATCTCGTCTGCCCGTGAGCACGATTGCTTGAGTATATAGTTTAAAACAATAAAAAGACGTAGTACATCCGAAAATATTACTTTTAATCAAATAAATGCTTGTAAAAGTCTCCAATAGTAAAATAAGCATGATATTTAAAAATAAGAAACAAATTATCAATTTTATTCTTAAAATGTACATATCAGAGCTATACTGTAATAGACGTGTTATTCAATTTACGTAACTGTTATTCAAAACTTCATATAGCGTGCGAGAAGCTATCAATAGAATACATTGGATTACCTTAAAACACGATTATATTAGACACGACACAGATATCTTGAAAATTAATTCACATCATATACGTATTGTTTACAAAAAAATATATACAAAATATATGTAATTAAGCCCAATAAAAGACTTGACCCTGTCCAGAACTCACATTAATTCATTCTTGGAACGTACGTCGAAGGCAGCCCTAGTAGGTTCTTTTCAAATTTGGTTAGGTAGAGAGAGGAGCTTGGACAGTTGAGATGAGCGTTTAACGCGTTAGACAGGGGCCTAAAACCTACACCTGGGTCACAAGTCCCAGGCACTGTTGAAGTTCCTCTCCTTGCAACGCGATGGCCCCGGCACCCGCACTGTGAATCCATGAAGCCAAAAGATTTGTCTTAAAATGCCAAAAGATTTGTCTTAAAATATTTATTATGATATTTCACACAATCGTAAAATATATAGGACTATTGAGATCGATTTGAAAGCGTTTTAATAATGCGCATTTTTATCTACGACTTTTAGTATAATAGAATAACAAATTAATATAAAAGAAGTAATAAAATCAAGGTCAACGACTCTGAACAAAATTAGCTAATATTAGGAAATGCCAGTTTTTTGTCAATTTTATAATCTGAACCACGAACGTTGAACAGAGACTATTGTTCAAGGAAGTCACAATAGATTGACAAATTCATTGATTTCTTGTACTATTAGTATGTTAAGTAGGGTGGATATGTTTTATTTTTGTTATTTATATATAATTATTTTGAATTATATGTAATATTACATACATAATATGTTTGTTATATTAGTAGAACATTCCAGAAGAATATGTGTCATCTTTATGTTTCTAATTTTTTTCAAATTTACAACAATAAAAACAAAATAAACTGGATTAATTCATTCTTAATTTAACTACAATAGAATTAATTTTTATTATACATACATATATTACTAGCTGTTTCCCGCGTCTTTGTTCGGGTTAATTTCATAATTAGAACTGTATAGCTGACCAGGCGAACTGATCGATTTAGAGGCAGTAAACAAATTTAGATTTTTTTAAGCAATTTTTTTGGTCGAACTAATTATAAAGTATCCAATTTCCAGCCAAATCCCTACAGCCTTTCTTGAGTTATATGTTATAACTAACACGACTTTCTTATATATGTATATAACTAAGAAAAAGTACTGAAGTACTGAAGTTTTTCAGTATATTTTTAATGTATATTAAAAATATTAATTACTTCTTAATAATTCATTTTTAAACACTCTTATATAATATGTCTACTACTATTTACTACACAATGAACGTGACACTCCCACGATGTTTGCGTGTAGGAGAAAGACATAGTTAATGTCGACACTATCAAACATTAATAAACTAAAATTAATATAATTGTTACAATATATGTTAACAAAATATATATTATAAAGACATCTTTTCTTCTTCTACCTGGCAATTTCCCAGCTTTAGCCAGGCCATTACATGTTGTGAATAGTTTTGGCTAATTGTTTTTACGACCGGCCGCCTGTCTGACATCAACCCTCTTTGGGAATGCATTAATCAGTGATGTCTAAATACTCTTAGAAAGTACATATGACTTGGAAAAATCACATTGGTACTTGCCCGAGGCAGGATCGAACTCGCGCCCTCATGCATTATAAAGACGTCTCTATCAACAAATAATATCTGTATATAAAAAAGAATTTTTATTCAATACTCGTCATAAAAATATATTTTCTTAATTTCATATAGACATAGGTAACAGTACTATACATAGTATCGTATTATAATTCTTCCGTAGTTTGAATTAATTTATAAGAGTAACTTTTACGTATATGTAAATAGTAATAACGGTAATAGTTTTAACGATATTATTATACATACATATTGTTATACAGGGTGACTGGTGAATTACTATCAATATTTAAGGAGAGTACTCGGGACATGATTCTCATTCGAATTATGTAAAAAAAATAGGTACTTAATTTTTGACCAAATTTCCGTATAAATAAATAAAGTGTGGACACGATCCAAGTGTTCCAAGTGTGGACGAGTGCGGCGGCGTGCAGATACAACACCACGCCGCCGCACGCGTGTGTGTGTGTGTGTATACCTAATCTGTAGGGTGTTCACACGATGCGTAATTAATTACATAACTTTTGGTTAACTTTACTTAGAAGTTTATTAATATTTATGTTATATTAATTTTTATTTTGTCATATATGATCGTCAAATATCACGTCCTCAAGTATCGATAGTAATTCACCAGTCACCCTGTATATCCACATACAATTTTCTTTAATACCAACCCTAACATATATGCTTATCATTTTAAAACTTCGTTTTTCAATCATAAATAGTATAACGTCAAAAGTTTTTTAAATACAAAAACTATAAAACTATCCGTTTAGTTTATACGCATTCATGGTTACGATAACATACTTAATATTATCTAAACGTTAATTTTTCTCATAATTAATTTGATTCAATATTAATTATGGTATATAATATGAAACATCTCATATTCCAGGTTTGCTGACGAGGTCATGGAAGTGAGTCCGTCATCCGCTGTGACTACAATGCGACCATCTACCATGAAACCTATCACCTCTAAGCCCGCTACAATGAAACCTACAATGAGACAACCCGTACCACCCAGGTAATAAATATTACTACACTATTACCATTATAATATTATATGTTGTGGATTACGCGATAAATTGGTCATTTTTCATAACGACCGGATATGAAAATATCCAATATGGAAACAATTTGCTATTCATTATTCAAATAATAAAATTATCTGGGCATCGTACATATTGCCCAATGTTAGAGTAATATGAATATTTAATTACAATTCCTTTTATTATTGCAGCTATTCTGTTAGGTTTAGAACTTTAGACATTTCTCAATTTGACCGATAGGGCTAGACATTATTAATAATGACCTTTTTATCACTTCATCCGTAACATATATAAGCTAAGATCTTTCTTCATCTTAATTCAAATTATCTTGTTTATTATGAACGTGATATATTTAATAAATAATAATGATAAAACGGTATTCCATATACATAGTATAAACTACGATTTAAAATAATACGAATTCAAAAGGAGAATCTGCGTTGAAAACATGTCATATATATTTCCTTTAACGACATTCCACAAGCTGGTTCTGAGACTTAAACAGAACATTCTTGATCCTTTTATATGTTAAATTAAATAAAATGTTATTCGAAATTTGATGATCGAGGAATGACGCAGTTAATTAATATATTTATACATATACATAAGTGTGTGTATATATAATGAATCAATTCATAACCAACATATAACTTGAGCCAAATTTTACTCAAAGATTAATTGTGATTTTTTTTTTAACTATAGTAATAAATCCTTTTTAAAATAATATAGTAAGACATTCGTCTTCTTTGGGATTTCCCAATTATACCAAAGTACTAAAATTATATTTTTTCAATCTTAATATTATTTCTAGAATTCGCTTAATTGTATTTTTTTAATATAAACATTTCTTGTTTTTGTTTTTTTATTTGTTAACAAAAACAAGGTAACTGAAATTATTGTTTATAATCTCTGGTATTAAGCAAGCTATTAAACTAATTACTTTGAAATACTGTAAATTCCAGACGGGTTAAAAGATCTAAATCTCATAATATATCTTATTAAAAGACTATTCCCAAAAGTTCAATAAGGGCTTACACCATGACACGCAAGTTTGGTCATGACTGTATGAACTTTTGTCATGCCATGTACAAACTTTTGTCGTTCCCTGAATTCTATCGCCGACGATCTTGGTCTATAAACCTTGAAGTGGACCAGTAGTTTTTATTTCAGATTTTTACAAACACACATCAAGAATTAAACGAAAACATGCGATTTAAAGATCTGGTAATTTTTTCAGTATTTTTTTATATGTTTTTTTCTAATATACGTATCTCCAGGTAGTTATCGAATTACTTCAGACTTCTACAAATAACAATTTGAAAAATATGAAAAATTATGAATGTAATTTAATTTATAAAAAAATCATTTATATATTACTTAAAGCGACTACGATTCCATAGATTTTGAAGTTAAAAAGTAATGCTATTACTAAAATTCGTTACGAACTAACGGGATTGTATAAATATACAGCTTAACGTGCTTAATGAAATCTACTTATCAAGCCAATGTGCGATCTCATTTTAAAACTACTTATTTAAATGAACACCCTCAAAACTAGTTTAGTCCTTCAACTGATACAATTCTAGTAACTGGTCAATGGTAAATGGTAATGGTCTCTTACCACTGACGTAAAGGAAATATATATACATATATTTATATTTATATAATTATCCACTTAAAGTTATAAATTCTAATATTTCCATCTCATAACACATTTATCAGGAAATGGGGCCTATTAATTATGTTGGAGATTCCATTTAGTAAATAATTAGTGTTAATTTTCCATTGATGTAAATTATGTTTTATATGTAAAATGATGTTTACTTAGTAATTACAGCAGGTGGGCGTTTTGGTACTGTAAACAGGAAGATATTCTAATATGTTAAGTAGGAAATTTTTACGTCAATAGCTAGAGCCAACGAGACGAGATAAATTTTGTAAATAAACTTGCTTTGCACTAATTTATTCCTATATTGCCATCATATCTTTTAAGATTTTAGTATTTTTTAATGTTTACAATGTGAAAACCTTCACAGTGGCAATAAAACAGTTTTTTTGTTTAAATATTATATTGATTAGTTTAACTCGTCTATGGAAATTCGTTAAATTTAATTTTAAACAGAGTTTTGTCCACTTTGCATGTCTACTTCATCTGCATTTCTATTTTGGGTTTACTGATCATGGAAATAAATTATATTTTATTTTGTACTGTAAAAAGTATAATTCACTATTTTAACAGATAATAATAACATATTTTTTATCCTTGTATGTACTGAAAAGTTAAACCCATACTACATAGATGTGGGTTAATCTCAGATCTCTCTTATTGTAATCTTAACATAGAAAAGCTTTTAGTTGTAAGATGCTTAGACTGAGATGGGGATATCATATGAAAAAATATATTAAATTTCTTAGTTATTGCTTAAACCTCTTTAGAGAATTTCATATATGGCAACACTGTTATTAAATAATGATATCTACTATAACGAATGCACAAAAGGACTCCTTAAATACATTTACAATAAAAAAATTATATTACTAACGCAGTTAATCCCTACTAATATTATAAATGCGAAAGTAACTCTGTCTATCTGACTGTCTGTATGTTACGCTTTCACGGCTAAACTACTGAGCTGATTTTATTGAAATTTGGTACAGATATAGAGTTGACCGTGAGAAAGAACATAGGATAGTTTTTATCCCAGACTTTTGAAATAACCGAAATCCACGCGGGCGAAGCTGCGGGCGGAAAGCTAGTATATTATATAACTATGTTTTATTGAATTTCTAATCTAATATTATTTTGTATGTATTTTCAGACCTACACCAGTGTCGTGGGCTAACGCCGGTTCCGAATCAATGCCAACCCGTTTCACATTACGACCGACCAAATCCGAACTGCCTCTGCCATATTCTACAGCAATAACTTTGATTGATCAAATCGGTATTAAAATTATAAGAACAACAGAACTCGTCACAGATATATTAAAGAACACAGTACGAGCCGTTGTTGGACGATGAGTGACATATGTTTGACAGGTGACATTTAATTATAAATTATTTATATAAATACTGTTTGGACTAATTTATCGAAATTTTTTATCTGTTATTTACTTGTAAGAATTTTGTATGTAGTTATAAGATAAGTTAAGTTATGATGATAATTTTATACGAGATTACTAATTAAAGTAGTGTTAAGTTTTATCAAGGACAAAAATAATATTTGTGATTATATTGTATGATACGTTGCTCTTGCGAACAGATTAAAGATATAAGCTATAGTAGTGGGCATTAAGTTCAACTGTATAAAAACTAAATCATATTTGGAAATTTTACAAAATAGAATAGAAAAAACCAGTGATCAATAAATATTCTCCTTTTATACTTGTTTTATTGTGATTACTTAGTTGTAAAGTTTTTATTCACCTATAATATTTAAAAAGAATTGACTTATTACTCATAACTACTTCAATAGTTGTTGTTAAGAATTTATATTGGAACTCAACAGTTGTCTGATATAACCATAATGAAAATGTACTTATATTTGAAGATCACTTATTACTGCAAGTTGTGCTTTATATCAAATATTATATAATAACCAATAAATAGAAACAAATTAGTAATTAAATATTTTTAGTTATTGTTAAATATGTGTTAAAAATTTTAATATTTTTTTAGTTTAAAGCACTTAAACCTGAAATTGACTTTCAAACTTCCCCAATTTAAAGATTATTTCCAATAGAAGAAAAGGTGATAAATCCAAACATAGTTGACTTCAATATTTCTAAAAAGGCGTCTCAATTGTTTAGATTATTTCCCGCTCATAATTTCCTTCTCATGGTAAAGTGTATGAACCATAAAAAGATATCATTTTGTGCCTGTCATGTTTCATTAATTAATTATAACTATAATAATAATCCCACAAACTGTGGGTAAAGTAAAACAATATGGATGTCTGTATTTGATAAATAGTTAATGATACATGAATGTAATGCTGTATATACAGTGTGACTGGTGAATTACTATCAATATTTAAGGAGAATACTCGGTACATGATTCTCATTCGAATTATGTAAAAAAAATAGATACTTAATTTTTGACCAAATTTCCGTATAAATAAATAAAGTATGGACACGTTCCAAGTGTTCCAAGTGTGGACGCGTGCGGCGGCGTGGTGTTGTATCAGCATGTATGTGTGTGCGTGTGTATACCTAATCTGTAGGGTGTTCACACGATGCGTAATTAATTACATAACTTTTGGTTAACTTTATTAAGAAGTTTATTAATATTTATGTTATATTAATTTTTATTTTGTCATATATGATCGTCAAATATCACGTCCTCAAGTATCGATAGTAATTCACCAGTCACCCTGTATATACCTATCGAAAATGGTTCCTATCTTGAAAATGTTTCTGTTGGTATAAATTGAATAAAGTTAAAGAATTATACTTAGGTTAATTAAAAAAGAGAAAATATTTCTTTCATTAAAACTACGAAAACAATGTCCAATGCAATACAATGTTCTTTATTAAAAAAAAATCATTTTTCATAAATGGAAGGCATGATCATTTAATTCATCGTCAACATTAAAAATCATTGTAATTTCAAATGTCCAACGTTGTTATAATCATTTAATCATAATAATATCCAGTTTTAGGTACTAATAATTTAATTAGTTCCTTTTCATATTAAATCGATTCGCTTCGATGAGATTCAAGAATCCTTGGCGTTATACGAAATAAATAGATTCCCTTGAGAGTTGAGATAATGCTTCAGGGAAAGGCTACAGCTCCCCTCTAACAATACTCACCCTTCTAGAAAATTCGAATCATCAATACTTATTAATTACTATGAACATATTATTTTTTCATCGACTTTAGATATATTTTGAAGTTGCCATTTAATTTTACGTTTATCATAGAAGTGAAAGGTTATCGTTATTATAAACATGAATTGATACGTACGTATGACTTTACGATTTAATGAATGCTAAAAAATTTAATAGATATCTCTGTATATAGAGTGACGTTCGTAAAATTGAGTAGAACTTTTTCGTGCTCGATTCACGCACGCAATCTCAAAATATAACATGAAATGAAAGCAAATACATGCTGTAAAAATGAATCAAATACATGTGTGATATATTTCTTAAAATGATGTTTAGTTTAAGGGTTAAGTATAATATATTAAAATAAAAGAAAATTCAATTCATTCTATATATTTATTGATGTAAAGCACATAATATATGATGAAAAAATAAAAAAGTTATTTGATTTTAATATATTTAATCATACTTAATAAACAAATATAATTCACTGGTTACAAAGTTTTTACAACTTTGATTATATTAGCTTCTACATTCAGTAACAACAACTTGAAATTTCACCGCTACCAGTTTTAATATTATACAAGTGAAAGTAATCTCATTTGTAATTTACTTTCATTTCTAAGTAGATGAAACATTATGTAATTGCTCAGATTTTTAATTGCTGTTTTCACTTTTAAAACAAATTCTTTTTATTAGGATTTTTTTATGTTTAACTTTAAAAGATTTGTTTTATGATATAATTGATATTAAATTTATAAAATAAAACATATATTAATGCTCAACATTTATTGGTTCCAGTATCACATTTTTAACATACAATATAAATATGAATATTTTAATATGTTTAATTAAAACTATGTGTTACAGATAACATCCTTAACTTCTTAAACTTAGCTCTATTAAGTAAAAACATTGAAAGCTCTCAACATGGAATATTATGGAGCTTGTTTAGTATCTAAATATATTTTTGATATAAATATTGTCAGATCTAACATCAATATGTTTTGGCAAGAATTATTCTACAATCAAATCGGTTACATTCTCTTTTGTGACGAGAGCTACTAGACTGCCGCTTGGAGGACGGTCTTCTCCCTTAATCCAATTGTCGAAGAGCTGTGCGACATATGATAGTGGGGTCCATGAGCTAAAATCTGCTTTCGGCATCCATTTTCGGTTCATTTCAGTGTCCAATGTCACGGGGAGAATAGCTACGGCTAGAGAGTTTTCTGGTAGACCAGAATCCTTTGCACCCAGAGATTTTGTTAGTTGATGTACAGCGGCCTTAGCAACTCCATAGCCGATCATACCAGGAGTACCTTCTAATGCAGCCTTTGCACCCGTTAATGCCAGAACTCCACCGGGTGACAGATACTTAGATGCTAAAGAAGCAGATATAACGGAACTCCAAACGGACTGCCTCATCATAAGATCCGTTTGCTTCACCAAATCCTTGGCCGCGTTGCCCCCGGCCCAGCCACCGGCAACACAAATCACTGCATTCACTTTCTGACCTTGCAATGCTGTACCCAATTCTTTAACGACGTGGTCTTCCTGTTGAGCCCACGGTAAATCAGCAGGTACAGTAATATTTACATCTGCCTTATCATTAGGTTGGAGATCAACGCTCGCTACCCAAAAGTTGGCGCTTTTAAAATGATTTACACACGCCGAACCTAAAGCCCCACGGCCACCGTATACAACAATTCGTCCACTTGCCATTTTAACGTCTTTATCGAATCACGGAACGAATTCAACTGACGAGAAAAGGCGCCGTTTCAATAACCTCGACAATCACTTTATAAAAAGTTGTTGACCCGATAGCGACAATACCACAAAGGTAGATTTTGTTTTAAGTGACAATGTAATTCCCCATGGGAAAATTAAAATACAAATATAGCTATAGTTTCGGAATATTTTTCCTCAAGTTCTTCGAAGTCAATATGAATAATTATTGATTCAACATAAACTAAGATTATTCCGTGAAAGCCTAAAATCTGACATTGATTTGTCAATATGACATTGACGTAATTATTCTTTCCATTTGAAGTTGCACCTCATTGCTTACAATAGTTATACTGAATTTAGTACGCTTTTATTTTAACTTATATGTTTTAATTTATTGAAAATAATTACATAAAAAAATTAATTGAAATTATCATTGTTAGTCTCTGAGTCTAAACGTAACAAAATGATACACAAATAACAACAATTTTACCTGATACAATACAATATAACCAGATTATAATAATAACAAGACTAATATTATTACTTTGTATATATTAAATAAATTTTTTTAAGAAAAAAAAAACACTGACACGACACTACTGTAATGGTTTTTCGTTCTTGTTCTTCTTGCAGGAGACGGAAGACAAAAATGGTGCGCAGGCAGAAAACATTAGTTTTTATTAATATTTCTCACTTAGACGTAAATTTTAAATGTAATATATTTTTAAATTTAGGTTCTTACAGATATTCGTGATGACGTGAAACATGGATAAAAAAAGGTATCCTTTATTATCTGTCTGTGTCAATTGTGACTGTTGCCTATTAAAACTTTTAGTAAAGTAAAATATGAAATGTATGTAAATAGGATTGTTTGAATCAAATATAGGTACTTGTCAATTTTGATTCTTTAAGTGTCAGAAACTTAAATAGTCTGTTCTCCTATTTTTTAGGATCTATGGTGATATGAAAATTACGAATACTGTTTTTATGTGTGTGTAAATAAAAATGGGCTTAAAAACATAAATGAGACAACAATATTATATTTCGAAAATGTTTATTAGTTATAATTTTATTATATGTATACCTTTACATTTATTTGCGTAATATTTTCTATATGTACAGTTTCCGAACATATGTCATTTATTTTGTTGAATAGGTTTTTTACATAATTTGAAGATGTTATTAACCAATAATAATTGCAGAAATCCTCTTATTAATGCCTAACACATATTTATTATTAAAATGTAAAATATATTCATTTGAGCTCTTGGAGTATTATAGTAAGTTATTCTACTTTTAATACGAATAACAAAAAAAAAACATAATTTAACAATAAATAATATTTCTGATGATCTTTAAAACAATAAAAGTGACTAATCTTTTGTGCATGGTGCGCAAAAGGACATAATAAAAAAAAGTAAAAGCTTGCCAAAATAAAACAAAATGGTGTAATATAATATCGTATAGAAAAATTAATATGTTATAGCAACATTTTCAAATACTAATGAATAAAATATAGAAATAATAACATTCAATATAGTACTCAAGCCTTTAAATAATAAAGACAGGTTATTTAATAATTCACAAGTGCGGTGATGAGGCTGGTGATTAATATCAAAAATGAAACCGAGGACTGTGCACGATACTGCAGAAAATACCTAAGAAAAAAAGATAAGATAAATAAATAAAAAATATTAATATATTAATACTAACAGAACCTGAATAGTCTATTATTGTCTAACAATGTTTGCTTTGACACACTTCATACGAAGCGTTTACCGATTTTCATTGAATAACTGGCTTAACTTTTTAAGTTGCGAAAATTTATGAATGAAGAACTGTTTACGCTCTTTTTGCAGTGTGACGATGCAAACTTTGGGTGAATATACTTGTCTATACAGGGTGACTGGTGAATTACTATCAATATTTAAGGAGCATACTCGGTACATGATTCTCATTCGAATTATGTAAAAAAAATAGGCACTTAATTTTTGACAAAATTTCCGTATAAATAAGTAAAGTGTTGACACGTTCCAAGTGTTCAAGTGTGGACGCGTGCGGCGACGTGTTGATACAACACCACGTCACGACATGCGTTTGTGTGAGTGTCAGTGTATACCTAATCTGTAGGGTGTTCACACGATGCGTAATTAATTACATAACTTTTGGTTAACTTTACTTAGAAGTTTATTAATATTTATGTTATATTAATTTTTATTTTGTCATATATGATCGTCAAAAATCACGTCCTCAAATATTGATAGTAATTCACCAGTCACCCTGTATAAGAATTAATTATAGATAGTAGTATTATATTATACATATTAAAATTACATGATTAAAGATACCTACACGATTTACTTATTTAATTAAATTTATAATATTATAAAAGCTATTGTGGCTTTTATTATAAAAATGGTCTTGTTCGGAGAGCGCCGGATCTAAACCAAACGTCATTTTTAAGACGTCACAGAATACAACGCCTGTCATCAATGCCACAGATACATGATAGAGAAAATCAGCGATTTTCTTCTGTTTTTTGCTATGTTCTCCATTCAAAGACGAAATAATTATGGCTAGGATTCCCGCGCTCGCCTGAATCAACAAAACAATCACTAATCACTTACTACGTAAATGTTTAAAAATTATTTATATTTTTATTAACTATGAGTAACATTAAGTTTTCTTATATAATCATCATTTATATTCTTCAATCGTTCCAGTATAAGAGGATTATTAGAATATTCTATACCAAAAGCCGATATAACGATATTTATGACAGATATAACAAATATAAATATGACAATGACATCGTTTAAAATTACAGCTGACGGCTGATCTGAGGCTTCGTTCAAATCCAAACCGCCGATTACAACGAACAGTAAACCAACGAGAAGCTAAAACAATACATTTTTAACTATATAACAAACATTAATACACTAAATACGAAATAAATTTGAACCAGCAGACTCTAAATAATCTATTGATGTATCACCAATCGGTTATTTAATACATTTATTTGGAATTAAAGAGAATTTAGTCCAAACGTATTTACAATTCACATACTAAAACAGTGACAATATTATCCTATTAAGATTATAATTACGAAGTGACCAGAAAATTCTAAAGCAATCCAAAAAAAAATACATCTTAGTTATTCAAAATATGTGAATTCCTGATATCTAGCGAGTGAAGAATCAAAGGCAGAAACGAGAACATTAAGCACGGTAACAATGAAAGCTGTTCCCGTTGTAGCGTAATTTATATTAAGCGCGGAGTTCCTATGTTGAGGTTTATGGAATAAGCAGTCACGTAACAGGTTGAGAGACAGCAGCACTAAGCCCATCGCCACCTAGAAACGTTTCATTCCACCCAAAACAGAATCACAACTATACTATTATCACTATAGTAAATATACAAATAAATGTATTTAAGTGTTTATAAATGTGGTTTTTTTTTGAGAAATGGATGGTTGGCATTTTAATATATTTACGATTTCTTCAAGTCGTTGTCATTTTTAAACTTACTAAAGAAAAAAAGATCTTAACTTTCACTAATCTGATAATCACACTAGTACCATTCTAGTTTTATTAAAATGGCTACAATTATAACTTATTTCAAATATTTTTCTTGCACTTTTTAAATTCATTTATAATCAAACAAGCATCAGTATGCTATTATAATGCCTCTAAGACAGAATAACCGCTATATCTTCAACCTCAAACCTCTCAATCGTGTAAGGATACGGCCTCCAATAAATTCTAATGAACATCAATTTCACTGATATAAAACATTAATAAAACGTGTTCGTGTAATGAATTTTACAACAAACAATTCTATTGTTATAGTATTTCGCACGTCCTGGAAAACGTTCATGCAAACTCACCTGTAGTACTATAGAAATAGATATTAGGACTACTAGCAGCATGTAAAACTCATGACGTGGCCCGACTTGGAGAACATACTTCAATTGAGAGGCGTTTGATGTTAGTAACGCTATATCCAACATGCCCTGGGCAACGGTTTTTTTGGTTGCATAGCGATTTGCATCCAGTCCTTTGACCTGAAATTCATATTAAATTTAAGCTATTTTATCATCGATAATATGGAAGAATAAAGCTTTTAGGCTATATGAAGATTATTTTTATATAAATTTCGTAGTAAACAAGATATTAACTTCCTCTAGTATTTCTGTTGGTGCGTCTTGATTTTTCATTGTCTCTTCAACGCTCAATTCGTTCGAACCAACATCCAAGTCACTGTTCCCTTCCTTATTTTCTAATGCCATTTTCTTAATACAAATAAATTACCACTGATACGTGCGCTACTGATGAGTTAACACTGACTAAAAACTGATTTAGGAGTAACGGAAAACGTTAATCCTATTTCCTTTATACAAGGCCAATAAAAACAGAAAACACGGAATTAACAAACACGTATAATTATTTTCAATTGTTCATATTCTTAAACTTAAGATACTTAATTTGATTATTGCTAAAAAATGATTTATATCATTATATAGAATAAAGACTAAAGGAGAACACAAGCTGTTACAGACAAGAAAAGAAAGTTAATAAAAAAAGTTACATAGTTAGGGATCTGTCCTTTGTCTTGCCATTGTCTGCAATGGGTATCGATATAGTATTTGTATTTTCGAAATAATATTATACAAATGAGTATAACTTTAATATTAATTTATGGTAGAAAATATCTTCTTAATAAGAAAGTAATAAACAAATTACAATTTAAAAATAAAAAAGTATTTACAGAATTAACTCAAGAAATAGAGATGGCCATTGCTCTTAGAACCATTCATAAGTAACTTACCCCATTTCTCAATCCAGATGGAAATATTGCCGCCATGAGTGATATTTATTAGGAAATCCTTTCATACATTTCAAAAACTCACGTTAAATATAGTTCTGCGTTCAAAAAAGACAGTGTTCAAACTAAGTAACAAAAAATCAATGTCGTTACTAGACAACGACAAACAAAACAATCGTAGCTATGACATGGACTTATTAAATTGTACGTTACTTATTTTTAGCAATGGAAATAATTAAGCATTGATAAATATTTAAAATGTTTAACCTTTATGAGATAATATAACCTTTATACGGCATGTTAACAAATGTGCCTATTAATTTTTTTTATTAAATGAATATAACATAAATTAGAAATATTGACTTTAAACATATTTATTAATTAGGTTTACTAATTTACAGTATAATTCAAAAAGTTATAATGAATATTATAATTACCAATTTTTTACGCAGATTTATATCTGCTGAGTTAATAAAACTCCTTTTTAAATAAAGATTAATACTTAGGAGATCTTCACTAATAATAATTGTTTCACTTCTTGCACGAATGGCTTAAAACAAAAATTTAAGGCTTAGCTATATATATGTATATACATGTGTGTGTATGTTTTTTGCTCGAACAAATCTAACGACAAGAAAGATTTTCATAAACGAAAAGGAGTGTTTGTGACTTTTGAATCGATTTGACTTGACTCACTTGCTTCGATGGTTGACAAAAGCATTCCGAAATCCGAATGCAATTGTTTGATTTTAAATAAATTCCCATCCTTCCACCGTTAGCGTTTTTGAACATTAAGTATTAAGGTATTTATTAGTAAACTTAATCAAGTTTATTGCAAGTAGCTACCTTATTTAGCGGACAAAAACTTGAAAAAGAAATTTTATATATAGACTCTGATCGTAAACATAAAGTTAAATGACTTGAACTTAGATTTGTATTAAATAGTGTTGTATTTTTTGTATAAACATCTTCATTACTTAGAGGAAAAATTGTAAAGCTGAAAATAGTTTTTTCAAACCAATTACATGTGACAAAAAGTTATTATCGTGCAGGGTGTAAATTATTCCTGGTAAAATAATAGAAACCACTCAACAAAACTATATTACCTGGTTTTATGAGACTTATAACGTAAAAAAAATTAAAAACTACTCAATCTGGCTAACGTTGAATACTTTAAAATAACTACCAAACAATGGCGCTGCCTTCCCACGATGAGCACAATCAAACATTGTAATTTGTGTATAAAATTTAAAAGTCTAGGGACTGGTTTCATAACTTAAATTTTCTCCCAGTATTCAGATTTTCTACTGATTATACATACGTACATTTACATAAAGTTTAAAATCAAACAATTTCAACCAAGAGCCTAATACATATTACTATGTACAAGCAAAATTAATGAGATAGTAATGTTTATTCTACGTCAAACTGCTATCTATCATCGTAAAAAAAAAACGTTGCTATGTATACACTTACGTCCGCTGTTTATATATACTTATTTATTTATATATTTGTATTATGGTCGAACGGAACAATATAATAATGTATTAGACATCCATTATATGTAAATCCTGATTTAACATCGCCTCGCAACACCTTAGCCATAAAGAATGTGCTATATCTTTGTATTGTTAACTCATAAAGAGTTAATATAAAACATAACAACAATTTCTATTTAAAAATTCGTTCAATCATACATTAAATTTTTTTTACCCCTTGTTTTATTTACTATGCAAGTAAAAATTTAAATGATTTGACTAACGGTTTGAAAAAGTCTAAATGTAACAGCAAATAACAATACAAAAAAAATGTATACTTTGATATAGTAGTAGGTAGGTACATACTTAGTAATAAACATATTCAGTCGAGAGTAGGATTGATAAGTTATATCTATTGAAGTCCGAAAAAGTCCTACTAAAAGAGCTCCGAAATAAAATGTTACGTCTTTCATAATTTATCTCCTAATTTCTTATTTCATTTATCAGAATGAAAAAATTCTTATATACTAAGAAAGATATACGCTAACAATTCACTTGAACTTATTCAACGTTTAACTCTTTAAATAATAAAAAAAAAATTGATGCCGCTTTTCGATGACAAAGGTTCAACATTTTTGAGTTAAACTCTATTTATACTTAAGGAAAATAGAAAATAGTTATTGCTAAAGCTATGTACTGATAATAGATATTTTAAAATATTACTATCTAAAAGTAAACTTTATTACCCAGTAGTTAACCAGTAGACACCAGTAGACACCAGTTTATTTTTATAATAAGTATAAATTATTATGTATTTTTACTGATTTCATGTTACAAATTATAAATATATTTAAATAATATTTATGTCGTTCCATTAAATTACAACCACATATATATTTCATTAAATAACATAGGTACAATACTTATGAATATAAAGTTCTTTATGTAGAAATGAAGCTGTTTTTCTTCGTGTAAAATTCGTATATATCTAAAAGGTAATTTTAAACATTTTGTGGCCATCAACAGGATAAGGATGGTGTTTTTTTTTATTAATATTAACGATATGTACAAAATATATTCAACACACAAAACACCAGGCGATAATATTAGAAACTTCATTTCAACATTACATTATAAACTTTAAAACTCGCGGCTTTAAAAATTCAAGCGCAAAAAGGCGTTTAAACAAACTAAAATTTATCTCCTATTTAAATATAAACTTTATAAAACTTTAGACATACATTATCTTTACTTTTATAACAAATTTATACAACTAAAAAAATCATAAAATGAAACGTCTGAATTCTTCCCGCCTGCACAGCGTCGGTCACTCGGTGATGTTGTGTTAAGTTGTCTGTCAAACAAAAACACTTTCGCGTTTCTACTTATAATTATTCCCTATAAATAAAATTAATGATGAATCGTGCAAAAAGTTATCTCTATCCTTGTTTTATTTTATAACATTATATTTTTGATATCAATAAGTGATTTTGAATGTTGAAAAAAGGATTAAATTGTGTGCAGCGGCTAAGTGGTTTCGATTTGTTTTCTTGTGAATCTTCCAAGAAGGGTTCGTAAATCAACCAGATGTTGCCTTCTATGCCAATTTTATTTACAAGAGATAGCCAAGATGCATTCGGAAACAAAATAGAACCGAGCACTAGTTGTTTTAACCAAAATAATAAAGAGAATCCTATCTTTCAATCAGAGGTAAATGAGTATGCGTGTTATTTTATGTAACTTTCTTTAGTAATTTAGTGACTATTGTGCTATTTTTAGTTTGTTATCTTCGTTAGTTGTAGGATTTAATTCAATCACAACAATTTTTAACTAAACAATGCCTAAATTATGGTATCCTACAAGTCATTAGAGCTGTAGCAATGTCTGCCATTTTACTTGTTGATAATTTTTGTATTGTAATTATTTTATTTTTCAGGTTGTTTTATCGAAAATAGTTAAAAAAGAAGACAATACTAATAACAATGGCACACAAATAAAGCCTAATGATATTCAAAAGGAGGATACAATAAAGAAAGATGATGACAATCTCTTAGAGACAGGTAAACTTTCCATTTGTTATATCATTCCTTAATAACAAATTATACATTTTATTTCATTGTGGACTAGTATATAAAAAGAGTTACAAATAAGGTTCTTAATAAAAAAAAATCATGTTCTCATACAAGGAGAGATATTAAATTAACTAGACCTAATTAGGTCAATTTAAAAATCATTAATAATTGATGGCATAGATATCTTTAGCAAATATATTTATTAATCACATAGTCTGTGTAGTCCCAAATGAACCATGTTTAAGAATGAATCAAATGTTCTATGTTCAGATTCTAAATATTATTTTCAGCCCTGATAAGATCATATTACACAAAAGTACAATCAAGATTCACCTCACACCCAGCACTGCCTTCTAACAAGTTTGTACAATTTAGAGATATTTTGAAGTCTTTTGATCCAATGTTGGAAACTCCTGTCGATTTATATAGAAAAATAGAGAAGCATTTTGGCAATGAACATGCTGATATTGTTGAGGAATTCCTTCTATTTCTGAAACCCGGGCAAGCGGCACAAGTTGGTAGATTTATGGATCATCTGATGCTAACAAAGATGACAGGATTCATTCAATTGTTACAAGTAAGTATAACAATTATTTAGTATTATAGATTATTGGTTTAGTAAATTAAGTAAATATTATCTTTACTATCCCTATCTTTAAAAATACTCAATGCTGAAGTATCTTGTATATTCATTATGTTCTACTTTAAATTTAAAATGATGTTTCCCATATAATGCTATGCGCTTGTTTTAAAAATGTTAATGCTAATATATGACTCTATTTCTGTTTATGAACAAATTTGTCTTAATTGAGGTATTGTTAAGTGTATAGCACTGGATAATACTTAATATCTTTTAACTTTGTCAGAATTTACTTTACTTATTTTATTAACATGCAATTGATACATTTTTGTAAGTTGTTGTTATTATAAATTTCATTATGTTATTGTGGTAATATAAAACATCTTCTTTGTATAAGAACGCCTTCTGATCTTATATGCATAAGACATACATTAATTTGAAGATGGTTTTAATAAACATTTGAAAACAGTAATAATGATGCAGTTATCATAATGAGATCTAAGATTTCATTTGATTAGTTTCATTTGATGCAGTTATCGGTTGAGATCAAATATTATTACTAAGTAGGGAATAACTTAATAACTTCCATTGTTTTATTGAGCTGCTTTTCAAAATGTTAAAGGTCAAATTAAACTCTATTTATACATATACTGATATATAAATTATGTGAAATACTATTCTTATCTATTTAAAAATACATGTATTTATTGATATAGCTAAGTAAATTTTTGGAAATCTCCCTGAATTCTCTTAAATCAGATAAAATTATGCTTATTACTTGATATTAAATAATACTTCAAATATAAAATCATAACTACATGCTCCTGAATTGCAAAAGGCTTGAATAAGGCTAAAGACAATTTAAATGTCTGTCCAAATACATTCAATTAGTTTCTATAGTGACTGTTCTCAATTGGATATCATGGAAAATTTTATGAAATTAAATACTAGAGTTTTGGCAAAACTGTTTCTTGAACATGACATTTAAAAGTCAAGGAATTGAGGAAGAATCAACTATCATTGTAAACAGAATTATCGATTAAAAATAATCATTTTTATTTGCATGAATTAAATTAAGTTTTTTTGTTATTTAATATGAATTGAGTAATTTAGTGGATTGACAAATTAACTATGCCCCATGTTGTCTATTGTTTGACCTGTGTGATCCTTTATCTACCACATAATTAATATATAAAAATATATATTATTCTTTAATGATTTTTTGCACATTCTATAACATATAATTATAGAGTGTGATTTTATTACCTCTGTAGGGAGTACATGTTAGGTGTCTTAAAAGACGGTATTTGTGTCGTAATATATTTTAGTCAGTGGTGGCCTAGTGGTTAAAAGGCCCGCCTCTCATGCATGAGGACGGGGGTTCGATCCTGGCAAGTACCAATGTGATTTTTCCAAGTCATATGTACTTTCTAAGAATATTTAGACATCACTGATTAATGCATTCCCAAAGAGGGTTGATGTCAGGCAGGCGGCCGATCGTAAAATCAATTAGCTAAAACTAATTTACAACATGTAAGGCAAACCCAGGCTAAAGCTGGGAAATTGACAGGTAGAAGAAGGAGGAGATATTGTAATGTTTGGGTAAAGATTTTATACAAAGAAAAGCAATATATTCCAAGATGGCTTCTGGTTAATATTTTACGACCAATAAAAATGTGCATTTATAACTGAACCTATAAATTAACTTCAATTAATTTAAAAGCAACAATTGTTATCTATGCAAAATTCCTAATGTTCTTTTGTACTAATGTTCTTATGAACCTAAAAGTTGCTTTTTACGTGACGATTATTTTATTAATAACGATTCATATGTATGTCAAAAGCAAAGAAAAGGATTGCGAAAACCATTTTCTCGTTTAACCATTATTTCGTATATCACTTGACAAATATTACAATATGTATTTTCAATAATATTACTATAACGTCTCCAAATTTTTTTTGAGCATTTTCATTGACGTCAATCAAAATGAAAAACACAAGAATTGTCGTTTAAATCTTTTTATATTTTGAATCGAACAACCTATTCATATTAACGGTTTTGTTTGTAAAAGTAACTAAATCTATTTCAGATGAATTAAAATTTGATTAAACAGTACAGAAATATATTTTATCAGTAAAAATGTTATTTCCAGACAACATTTAGCCGTAAACCGACCGTACTGAGGAAGATAATGCGCACAATGACATCTGGTCTTAACAACGGTACTAGTGACGAGATGAAGGCACGAGTCCTGCCTCATTTGAGATCGAGTCCACAACTAACTCAGATGTTTAAAACTCTTTTCCCTGACGAACGACCCCCTGACAGGTAATTTGGACCATATTATACGTTTAGAAGACATTTTTCACCCCTATTAATTGCTGCATGGTATACCTATTTGTAATAGCATTTTTTTTTCTTTATTTTTTTTTTAACAATTATAAGTTGTCTTTTTGTTTATGTTTTTTTTTGTTGTTTTATTTCTTATTTTTGAAATAACTGATATTTCATCATTTTTGTACGGTCCCAAATAAAAAAAGTTGTTTCTTTCTTTCTTTTCGGTGATTGGAGGTTTTACATAATAAGGAATTTGATGTATGATTTTTTTTTGCAGTTTATATGAATCGGGTACGGATAGTTTGGACGAAGGATTCCTGACTTGCGACAGAGGCTATGAAGTCTTCGAATTCGAAGACAAAGCTGGCAAACGGAAGGAGACTAAAGGACTGGATTCTGAGGTAGTAAAAAACATAATTTTATTTCTTTGTACATAAGTATTATTTATTAAATTGATTAAGAAGTTCAAAACTACTGATACTTCTCTGTTTGCAGTACTTACACGGAAGAGTATTTATACAGCATGGCAGAATGTTAAGAAATGCTTCGGTAATCTATCCCTATAGTAAGGAGCCTTATAGAGTACACGCGAGACGCTTGGCTCCTAATCATTGCATCTCACCACCCGAATCTGATTCAGAACGATCATCACCGAAAAGGAGTAACAAGTCTGTCTGTAAATTGCCTCAGAAAAGATCAAGAAAACAGCTCAAGTCACCGACAAAAACCGTTAAAGATGTCAATGATAATACAAAGAAAGAATGTGTCCCTAATTCTTTTAGCAATAAAATTAAGGGAAAGTCCCATTGCAAGAACAAAAATTGCAAAAAGGACGACATAGCTTTAAAAAAGAACGTGAGCACAAAGCGAGATGATGCTATCAAGGAGGATACTCCAAAAAATGAAGTAAGAAGTTGGACTCGAGAAGAGGATAAAACTATGTTAGAGGTTCTGAAAGGAGAGCCGGGATCCGAGCTAGTGTTTGGCAGAATACGTGAACTGTTACCGCACAGAACCACGGCCGAGATAAAAGATAGATTCTGTCATGTCATGCATCTCTTACAGCAAATGGCAGTCGGTGAAGTAAATCAGTAGAAAGTTGGAATTTATTAGCAATAAGCAGAATAGATATTTATAATTTTATATGAATACAAAAATATATTTTACAAACTTTCTTTTATTTTATCATTATTAGTAATTGCAATCTTCGTTTATAAATAATTCCTTTAATTCTGGAGCGTCATCAATCATGCGCCGTAATGAATAGGCTCTGTCTTTCACAAATGTACTCGGATCTTTTTTAATACTCATGGATGTTAGAGAACCAGTTATTACTTCAAGTCTAGGCTCAGCACTCTCGCCATATAACTTAGACCCTTTGATTAAATGTTTAAATAGTTTTTCTACCTCTTCTTCAGAGAAACAAGTACATAATAATTCAAATTCTTGGTCAGAGTATTGGGTGCATGCGTTCTTTGTTTTAGATTCTACCTTTATTGGCTCTATAGTCGGTTTCCATCCCCTGGCTTGTTTAACTAAATGTCTGATCTCTTCAATGGAACAGGTTTTATAATTGGGCAAACTTAATGAGTCGTATGTTGACATTTTCCGCATATACGCTGGAAGGTGTTCTTGCAAATGTTTCTTAGCTGTTTTAGCACATTTACATTTTGGTAAAATATATTCCAAATAGCTATCCAATTTAGGTTCACGTTGATGATCTAATATCGCTGTTCTCGATTCAATGACATCACCTAAATCAACTGGTTTTTCAGGTTTCATTTCTTGTGATACTTTAATTTTTGGAATAAATTCTTTTGAATCTGGGCTATCACAGTAACACGTTTTCACTTTGCAAACGCAGCATCCAATATCAATATTTTTTGGGTTCGGAATTTCTTCTTGTAATATCTGCATTAAAGAGCTTTCTAGTTTTAGCTGTAAAAGCTGTTCGGATGATGTTACTTTAACAGGTACATCAAAAGTGTAATCGTGATCATCAATGAAATCCTTGTCAGTGCCATGGTCATCTAGTAATTGTTTCAAAGTTTCCGTAAAAGTTTCAAAATTGTCGCAAGCCGAGTAAATACATCTTTTATTGACCACAATTACGGGAAATTGTGAGGCGCTTGAGGTGCAATGTTTTGGACAAAGCTTTTCATCTATTTTTGGTTTGTATCCTTTGTCACAAAAGAGGAAGAAAGGATGAGGCCTGGCAACCGGAGTGTTTGGTCGGTCGTCCTCAGATATAAATATACTTTCAGCGCTAGGATTATCCAGAACCTCACTCAACTGCAATAACATTAGCTTTTCCATATTTATAAAGAAATCTGCGTGATCCGGTAAAGTATTCAGACAATATTTGACAAAAACTTGAAATTTCTTTACAACGTGACATACTTTTTTTTGCCATATTTTTATAAATTCTTGTCTCTTTTTTTCTTTCTCTTTTGCAAGTCGTATTTCGAAATCTTGCATTTGAAGTTCCTCTTTCAATTCTTTTATTTTCTTCTTATGTTTGTGCGTGGTCATCGCGATTTCTTTTTCACACTCTTCACGTTCCTTCAGTGACACATATACTTGACATGCTAAATTCTGGCACTCTAAGACAATCCTCAACTTTTCTATGGCAAGATGTTTTTTCAACATTAATATCATGAAGCTTATCTCCCATCATTGTTCTTGCACATTCCACTTTGTTTATAAAATCGTCTTTTAATCTTGCCTTTTCATTCATTAGCTTTTCTGTATATTCGTCGTATAACATAGTAGCTTGATGCTTAACGAGACTCTGTAACTTAGAAGACATTTTATTAAAAGTTTCTTCTTGACCACATCTTATTTGTTTCGCTGATGCTTCCATTATCATTTGTTCAATTCTTGTAACGGATGTCATGTACAAAGATGTGAACTCTTGGAAGGCATTCTGTATTTTTGTAGTATTTTGTCTAGCATGTTCTCTTGAAGCATCCTCAAATTTCTGTCTACAATTTTTCTCTATACTTAGTTTCCAATTATTATCGTTTTCTAATAGCATTCTTTCTTTTTCTTCTTCCATTTGCCTCTGATGATTTTCTAGTATCTGTTGCCCAAAAAAGTCTATACCATCGAAGCCTAATTTTGAAAGGAACTTTTTTTTCAACGGTTTCATAACGGCTCTGCCTTTCAGTAAATCATCTGGTGGTATGTACCAGTCGCTTCCACCGCCTTTCATAGGCGGTTCAAGGCCGGCGAGGACCTTAATTTTAGGAGGCATTGATTTAAAATAAACGTGTGCCAATGGCGCCGACATTCTCTCTTTCATCGTTGTTTGAGTTGGAACTTGATTTGTCTCTAAATAGTATTTTCTAAGAAAATAATTCTCGGATAGTTTTGGCATATTGGACAAAAACTAGTAATAAAAATAATAATTAAAACCCATACAAATTAGTACATAATATTGACATGCTTTTTTCTTTTTATTGACGTAAACAAATATATTATCAATATTTAAGCAGGATTTACTTTTCGATGATCAAATGTACAATGGAGTTGGTTTGCATATATATTAAGGTAAAATAATATTGTTTGTGCAACTTATCACTCTTAGCATTACCAAAAGATGCTGCCTGTAAAACTTAACAATTACATATATTTTTCAGATATAATAAATTACTAGCTTAGAGAATGATTTCTATTCGCCATTGCTGTAGGGTTATCAACAGTGATTATTACACCTTATTTACCTAGCACGTCGTCAATTCAGCCTGACACATAGAGCTTCTCTCCAAGTTTCCTTAGAGCTTACCTTACTTGACTTTAAAAAGGTTCGTACAATATCAGTGAAAGTATCGGAGCAAACAATGTAGTCGCCTAACGTTGTCATCACCACGAATGTGGCCAGCCACGTCTGCATGATTGACCTGAGTTGTATATTGATGTAGCATAGATATGTGTAAAGAATACACTGATCTATAAATATTGTATGTAGGGTACTTTCCATCGCGTATTTAGAAAAAAAGGACATAAGAATGTTGTATCTAAAGGATTTTGCTTTGGTAAAGTCACTTTTCTTCAAATTAATCTATATAATCTAAACAGCATCTTAACATGTCTCTTACCTATTCTTAGGAAAAAAGCCAATGGTCTGGTATGTTTTAATATTTTTGATTACTCTTTTTATTTGATCGTAAGTTACTGTTTTAGTCGTGAGCTAGCTGCTTTCTTAAAAATATTGTCTCATTAATAATATATAGGGGGGCAACCGGAGGTTCCAGGAAAACTACGAAACATACTTATATGTATATTAACATACGAATTACATATTAAAACTTATAACCTATACCTAAGACTACATGGTTGCCCCGATGTCAGGATGACAATGGCATTCTGGTTATAAATATTCTGGTTCACACGGCTTGGTGTTGGCTCCGCGGAGTCAGCCGCGTTACTCACTACCTATACGATATTTTACCGATACAAAGTTGTCGCCCCGGCGATGTTCATTTTTGTCTGCATATGTAGCGCGTACGTAACATATTTAATTCCTTTGTCGTGTTTGTAATAAACTTTTCATAACCGTTAATCTGATCGACATCGGTTCAAAATATTAAAGAAAATCTACAATTATTATTTTTCCAAAAGTTTTGGTACATAAACCATATGGTTAAAATATAAAACCAAACAAAAATATCGTTATCTTGAAATTTTAAAACATTTTTATATTATAATAATTGATATAATTATGCTGCCATAGTACATTAGTTAATAAATCAAATCAGATATTATCTATACTTCTTTGGAATACTATACCTATAGTCTAGCCATAAAATCTGTTACAAACGAAAATGCATTCTTTAAAGAAATTATGTAATGTTATTAAGTTATAAGTTTATCGCTAGGCCTTTAATGTGTTTGATCACGAATCGAATTGGCAAACGAGCGGACGGCCTTCCCGACGGAGGTAGTAGGTGCCGACGCTCATGGACATCCGAAAAAGTATATTGTGTAAGTAAGACGAAAGGATGTGAAAAAGGAACGGGCAACCGCCTCTCTCATTCATCGGAAGAAAAGCAGCCATTTGAGACTACTTCACTAGTTTTAATAAAAACCGATATCGTTGTGCTGATGATCACGTTGTATCTTTCTGACCATTTGAGCACTTTCTTCAGAGAGAAACATTATTGTAGTGTTCTTCAATCGTGGATATTTTCTCATCAGTAAAGAGAATATTTATTTTCCTTTCACCCACGTTTCGCGACAAAATGTTTTTTTATCGATCGTATCTTTAATTGTAAAGATTGATTGTATATCGACGAGAACCAAGCTTCAGGTCCTGTTCTATTTGCGATAGTGTCCTTATACTAGTCGTATTTCTCACGTGAAGATTCTTTACTTCCTAATGGGGTTTCGACGAATTCTGGCTTTAACAGCTTTTTGTAACTCCTAAAGTGCTCGGCAATCGGCCCATCTTTTTTGGGCTTCCACAGAAGTGTTATTGTAACTGTTGATAGTACCTACGAGTACAAAATAGGAACGTACAGCTGCAACCAAGCTTTGAGTGTCTGGAATGACCGACAATTAAATACCAATTTTGTGCAAGGCAATCACAGCAACTTATTTACTTTAACACCCCATTCCATGTTGTAAATAAATAATAATGAATACGAGAAAATAAAAATGAAGTGTGACATGTCGCCAAATGTCAACTGTCGGGAAATCGAAAGAATTTTCGAGTTACAAATTCAAAATAATGAATGGGATCGAATGAAATATTTCTTTTAAGTAAAAAACATACTTTAAACAACACAGGAACTCATAACACCAAAAAGGCACTTAATTTAGATAGATAAACGAACAATATTTTCAATACATTCCAATAATCCAATTTAATATCTAACTATGTGTACCTATTACTTTCACATAAAAAAAAAATAAAATCGCTTCAGCCAGTCGGAAGTTATTAAACATTAAGTATCAAATAGGTATATAAAAAAACAAACGATTTGAAAACCTCCTTTTTTAAAGTTGTTTGAAAAGAAAAGTTTTTATGAGCCTGTCAGTTTTGACGGCCAGTCTAGTTATATTATAATAAACTCTTATTTTTATCACAATAAATCGAAACAAAGAAGTCTTCTAGTTTCAGTTGAATGCTACGTTCATACGTCATTTATCATTGGTTGCAATCAAAATTAATAACTGTAGTTTAAATTGGACTTCATATTGTTCATTCACTAATATCATGCTTGTCAATATTTGAATAAGTTAGTTATATACCTATTGCCCAATTCTCCGTCCTATCTAATTTCTTGAAATAAAAGTATAATTAAATTCTATGATAAAGATCTATCTAATTATTTATAAGGCGACTATACTCAAATTATTCTTTATCTAAAAACAGGACGTGCTGAGGAACACTTTTAATTTTAAAACTTCTGTACCATTTTAAAAATTCAATTACTAAGTGTGATTTGATTACTTAACAAAAGTAGACCAGATTAAAATAGCTATAGCAAGACGAACACGACTAGTACAAAATGAGATCGAAATCAATATCGACAATCTACATATAAAATGAAAATTGATCGTCGTGGATGAAATTGGTCTATATGGTCTAGGAGAATCTAGATATAAGAAAATATGATTGAGTTCTAACATTTATAAATAAAGTGAATAAAAATTTTATAGGCAAACCATGTAACTCCTCGCCCGCGTGAGGAAGGGAGTGTGGGGTATACCCATCGTTATATCCCTACTAATATTATAAATGTGGAAGTAACTCTGTCTATTTGTCTGTCTGTTACGCTTTCACGCCTAAATCACTGAACTGATTTTAATGAAATTTGGTACAGAGATAGAGTTGACCTTGAGAAAGAACAGGATAGTTTTTATCACAGACTTATGAAAAGTTCTCTTGGAAACGCGATATAACCGAACTCAACGAGGGTGAAAAGCTAGTAAACTATATAGCCATCGAGAAGGAAGGGAGGAGCGAGTGACGGGCGCTCTATATCTTCGGTATATTACACAACTAGCCTTCGTCACCCGATACCCATCAGCTCTATCGGTGGCCGGAACCAAGCATCCCTGTACTTTTACGTTAGTGACAATTATCACCGTAATTTAAATTTTTCAGTACATTCAAAAACTCGAAACAATACATGAATTCTAAGGCACCTATCGGCTTTGATTATATTAAAAATGTTTCATAGATAGGTATGGAGGTACGTCTTTTTAATTGCATTTTTCTAGTGTTAAAAAACTCATTTAACTATTACAATACTTCTACTTTATCAATTATCACGAAAATCAATTTATAACTTACGAAATTGCTTCTATATTTATTTTCGACGTTTTATGTAAGTGGCATTAAAATAGCACAAAACCATAAAACTTCCCGAAAGTTACTCTCATCCTACCTCTTAGGAAATAATCCCTATAATATTTAGTAATATTACAATAGGGCAAAAAATCTCTTTCATTTCTATTTTAATGCACAACCACGGAAATTTTGTCTGTTTTATCAATTTAGGTATTTAACGTTTTCCTAAAATTCGGTACGAATTAAAAGGTTAGCACCTTTAAAAGGTTGTGCCGTCCATAGCCCAGGACATACAAGACACGTATAAAAAAATTATAAACCAAAGCACCAACAACTGAATATTACCAATAACTACAAGTGAAATCTAATTGTTAACATAATATAAAATATATAATGATATTCTAGTTAAACAGATTTTTCGTACTTTTTTACGAGAATATTTATTTATAACAGTACCGAGTACTATTTATTACCTACAACTTTGCCATATATCATTTTTCCGTAAGACTTTTAGTTTTGCCGGAAATCGAGAAAACCCATTTTTTATCCATAAATACCAACCCCCATACACTTCCCGACCTCAGATCGCCCGTAAATTATTTTGCCTATAATTTTTATAATATTATCCTCCTTTTCTAGTGAGTTTCATTCTACTATAATTTAGTTATGTTTTAAAAGCTATCGGCACTGGTTTAGTATACCAATAACGAATAATTATGTAGTGGGACGTAAACATTTTTACAGACAAATGTATTTTTGAAGAATCGTTAGTAAATACCTTGTTTAGATTTTACAAAGTTTGGTAAAACTGAGTTTTCTACTAAACATGCAAGCGGTTATTCCTTCCAGAACCGTACAAATTATAGAACAAAAAATGTTTCCCTATTTCCTGAACCTTATTTCACTTTCCTGCCATGATAAGACATTTAAAATAAACATTTTTTGCACCTTACAACTCTGACAGACGATAAAATTAAAGCAAAACATCATGGGACCCAAAAATAATAAACTTTACAGCCCCTCGTATCGTTATCTTGAGAGTTGAGTCCATATACGTCCCTACATGCATTTATTTACTTGTTTAAGTAATTTTATAAGTTTTAATTAGTATTTTTTTTATTATCCGTTGACGTTCTTAATTAAAAGTAAGTGAAGTTATTTTTATACTTACTTTTATTGTAATAATCAAGTTTTGCAATTTTTGTTACTATGTATTATGATAAAGTGCTAAACCATAGTCGGCACAGTTCTTGTATAGTTGCCGGCACGTAACTTGGCAAGGTTTTGGGGTAGTGAGGATAAGTTAGCGCATGTACACATAATGCAAAAAAAGTGGTCACTTCACTTGTCTATAATAAAAAAACTTTGTCTATATATGTGTATTATGATTATAAATCTTACTAAAAATTCACAAATTGCTGGAGTGTTAGGAAATCAAATAAAAAGCACCATCCGATTATAAAAATCTTTTTATTAATTAAAAATCACTGCGTCTGTGTAACTCGGCACAGGCCGACGTCGCTACTCACGATCCGGTGTGACAGGTAACATTTACTATATACCGTAGCATAATGCCGATGACTCCCTCCAACAACTAAATATAAGCCAATGTAACTAATGATTGAATTAAATTAATTTACACATTTGGAATACGACGGCGGTCGGACCGACGTCTCTTTAGAGAAAAACAAATCGAGATACAGATACGGTCACCCGTGTAGCTTCGTGTTCCAAGGATAACGCTTATAATCTATTGATACCTTAGATGAATTTACGATGGCCCTATTAGGACGTTACGTTATAAACTTGTTCACGGCAAAAATTACATTTACTACATTATATTTTAAATAGCAAAATAGTATCAGTAAAAGCAATACTATTTTCCTCAGATAGTTCTATAATAGAATAAAACCAGTTTATCTATTCGATTGAACATTTAAGTATATCAAAGGATACATACACTACTAGAATTTTGCCACAAACAAAGTTTATCGGAAATGTAAAAAAAACCTTATAGCTAAGCGACGAATAGGAAATTCCTTAATCGCATAACATCGCTAAATATTTGTATAAAGATATATGTAACATCGGAACAGCCTTTATACGGCGTTTGTGTGTTTAGGGTTTCCGTCAATGTAATAGGGGACACGGTGTTCCTAATAGGGCTGTTGTCTTGTTATAGGGCAGTCGGTGCTAGGCAGTTATCCTGAGGTGAAGCCGAGCGGCGAGCTTAGCTATAGAGGTCATCGTCCCCTCCCTCCTCCTGGAACGTGGGCTGGTCCCCCCCAGACGTGCCCGTCCCACCCGCCGACGCACCGCTTGTAGGGAATCTGAACATTATATCATGATTAATATGTATAATACAAGTATAGTGTGAAGTGCATGTAGACAAAAATTTAAGTAAATAATAGCTACAATTTAGTAATATTCTTATATATCCAGACAAATGTTGTTTAAAATACATTGAAAACTAGTACGGAAAAATAAACAGAGTAAGGTAACGCAATGAAGAGCATATTGTTGATATTTCTTATTATTTTCTAGAATGGAATAAAAAGTTCATGCACGAGTCAGACTTCAATCATATTTTGTGAACTTCACTGTAATCTCTCATCAGGAACTTAACTTGATTGGTTGGTTGGTTGTCTTATATTTATTGTATTATTTACCTGAAGTTAGTCCCGAAGCCCCTGCTCTGTTGCAGCGTCTGCGCGAACATCTCGTACTTGCGGATGTCGTTGTCGGACACTGAACGTCTCGCGAACTTCATCGCCTCCTCGAAGTGAGCGCGGCTGATCTCCGGCACCGGGTCCTCCTCGTCCATCTGAACAAAAACATTATTCATTAAAAATCACTATGTCTTGTATGGAAACAAATTCCGAAAAAGGCGGTGTTATCGCTCATTAGCTAATGACCAAGCGTAGCCTTTCATGTTGTTTTGCACACGGCATTTTTCGAAATCGCTATCTAATGCTTCGTTTAGACGTGTTTTCATGTTTAGTGCGAACTTGCTTAGTTGCTACAGTATTATATTGCAACAGTAACCATTGATGGTTATAACGTTTATAAGCTATTAAGCTAAATATTTATAAGCTCATCTGCTATGTAAAGATAGCTCTAATAATTCTATTACATATTGATGTCATGGGTCGTTATGAATATATATATTTACAAGATGACATTCAATAGTGAGGAAGTATTCAACGATAAGAATGTATCTATGTAACGACATGCACGTAGCTTTCATGCAGACTTGTATACTTATAATTTTAAGCTATAACATGTTAGTGTGATGACGTCACTCACATCCATGACGGCGGCGGGTTGTGACTGTTGGCGCGCCCTCTCGCGGTGTATCTCCGCCTCGATGGCCTGTCTGATGGCGAGCTTGCAGGCGCGCTGGCAGATCTCCGTCAGATCAGCGCCACTGAAGCCTTGTGTCACCTGAAATATACGACGAGATACTTTATAATAATCCTACTAATATAATCATTGCGAAAGTTTGTGAGTGCGTGTGTATGTTTGTTGCTTCTTCACGCTCAAACAGCTGATGCGATTTTGATAAAATTTTGTATACAGGAAGCTGACGTCCAGGAATAACACATAGGCTACTTTACATCCCGGAAATCCGCGGGTAACACCGCGGGGCACAGTTATAGTTTTCATATAAAAATCGACCTCATTTTACAGATGTAAATTAACATTTATTCTATTTACATGTAAGTTAAATGCATTATTTCATACAGTAGAATGACAGATGATTCCAAATAATACCAAACGTGATCGAAACGATTATAACTATATAATACCTTAGCGATGTATGATAAGTCAACGTCCTTAGCTATTGGCGACTTGCGTAAGTTGGCCCTCAGTATAGCCTCGCGAGATTTCTCGTCCGGTAGAGGGATGTAGATCAGCTGGTCCAGACGACCTGGACGAAGGATGGCCGGGTCGATGATGTCCGGACGATTTGTGGCGCCTAGAACATAGAAAAATAATGATTTATTACAAGAAACATACAGATATGCATTTGAAATACATAATTGCACAATGTTTTATAAAACTGACATAATATATTTTATGAGAGGCTTTCAACTTTTTTTTTATTGACCGATGATGTCGAGAAGATTTGTGGCGCCTAGAACGTGCAATAACAACAATTTATTACAAGAAAAATACAGGTATTGGAAATATATAGATGCACGTACAAAATGTTTTATAAAACTGATTTAATATTAAATGAGATGATTTTAATTTTATTTTGTGGTATTGAACTAAGAACATTATTAACACTAGATTATCTTTTAAGTAAAATTTATCTTTGTTTTTTTCATTACTTTGATTGACTAAGAGGTTGGGTCATTTTACATACGTATATAGGTATATAAATACAAGTATACCCCGACTATTTTCATCAAATTATAACTTTAATCTTTAATGAGATGATTTTAATTTTATTTTGTGGTATTGAACTAAGAACATTATTAACACTAGATTATCTTTTAAGTAAAATTTATCTTTGTTTTTTTCATTACTTTGATTGACTAAGAGGTTGGGTCATTTTACATACGTATATAGGTATATAAATACAAGTATACCCCGACTATTTTCATCAAATTATAACTTTAATCAGTCTAGTATAGTATAGTGTTGTAATATTAACCTATAATGAAGACGTTCTTCTTAGCGCCCATGCCGTCCATTTCCGTGAGTATCTGGTTGATGACTCGGTCGGCGGCGCCGCCGGCGTCCGACACAGACCCGCCGCGGGACTTGGCGATAGAATCCAACTCGTCGAAGAACAACACACACGGAGACGCTGAACGAGCCTGGAGAGGAATCACTTACATATTATACAGGGTGACTGGTGAATTACTATCAATATTTAAGGAGAATACTCGGTACATGATTCTCATTCGAATTATGTAAAAAAAATAAGCACTTAATTTTTGACAAAATCCGTATAAATAAATAAAGTGTTGACACGTTCCAAGTGTTCCAAGTGTGGACGCGTGCGACGGCGTGCTGTTTCAACACCACGCCGCCGCACTCGTATGTGTGAGTGTGTGTGTATACCTAATCTGTAGGGTGTTCACACGATGCGTAATTAATTACATAACTTTTGGTTAACTTTACTTAGAAGTTTATTATATATTAATATTTATGTTATATTAATTTTTATTTTCATATATGATCGTCAAATATCACGTCCTCAAGTATCGATAGTAATTCACCAGTCACCCTGTATAAAGGCGGTAATCATTCACTATTAGAACAGTTTTGTTCATTATTTAATCTGAGATTAAATGTATCCCCAATAACATCATTAAATAATATACATCACAGAAATTTTATAATTATCAAATCTTAAAGTATTTATTGACTTATGTGTAAATTAAAAATTTTCGTTTCCAATTGTCATTTTTTTTCTATTTGCGAAACGCCGAACCAAAACATTTTAAGACGAAGCGAATAGCGAAGATACACAATTAAATGCGTTATTAATTTTAATACTGTTTTATAATTATCAATATAAAGAAATGAAAGTAACTTAAACACTTATATATACTAATTTCACTCTCCATATTGTTTCTTGTGAGGAAACAATACTTGTTTTTTAGTGTAACCCTCACCTTATCGAAGATGTCTCTAACATTGGCTTCAGATTCACCAAACCACATGGTCAGTAACTCCGGGCCCTTCACAGAGATAAAGTTGGCTTGACACTCGTTAGCAATCGCCTTGGCTAACAATGTCTTACCTGAACAAAAATGTATAAAATTTTAATTAAAACTGAAATTTTAATTTCCTCGTTACATACATATTGTGCTTTTACAGAAACGAAACCTGACACGTAACAATTGAAATTATATGTATATATATCTAATAAATACACATGATACTAGTAACTTGTTTATTATGTAACCGGAATACAATTAAATTTATAGAAATGTTAAGTTTAGTTAAAAGAATAGTTATGTGCCATATATAAGTAAACAGTATACATAGGTATATAAGTAAACAGTTAGTAAGTTACATATTCTTTGTCTAAAATGTGTCACATCTGTGTATCTCATATTCTTTGATATAAATCATGTATAAAAGTCAAATCATTGCATATGTAAATCAGTGTCTTATTGTACTATCTCAGAAATAAATCGTGAACTAGTTACTGTCTTCTTTATCCTCAACATTCTAAGCTCAGAAATAATTGAATTTATTTCCGGCACAGTTATTTCAATATTTTTTAAATAAAACAAATAAGTTAATCAATAAATCACTTTGAGATATACATACCACATCCCGGAGGTCCATAGAACAGTACTCCTCTTGAAGGCTGCATACCAAACTTAAGGAACTTATCAGGATGTTCCACTGGATACTGAACCAGTTCTTGAAGCTCCCTCTTAACGTTCTGGAGACCACCGATGTCAGTCCAAGTTACGTTGGGCACTTCCACCACTGTCTCACGGAGTGCCGATGGAGAGGATTTGGTCATTGCATACTGTGAGAGATTATAATCATTAGTTTTATACATTTTATCTATTGAATAGATATGAATTATGTCCTATAACTAAACATTTCATTTTTAAAGTTAACATTTATCCTGTATGGGTATGCAAGTATTGTTTTTAAACACTTTAAATAGAATATTACTTAAATTTTCACAATTTTGTATTAAAATCTGATATATTTTGATATTAATTACATGTACTATTATTTATATTTATTGTACTGTACTTACACGGAAGTTATCCATAGAGACAGCCAAGGAGTTGAGTACTTCAGCATCAATCTGGTCATCCTCGAGGTCAATGAGGTCCATTTTCTCTCTGATCTGTTGCAAAGCTGCCTCCGAGCACAAGGAGGCAAGATCAGCACCCACATGACCATGAGATTCAGCTGCAATCTGGAATTATGGTCAAACATGGTTATTGAATTATAAGTAACATTAGATTTTAGATAGCCTTTGCTTTTATTTATAAGATAATGTACAAGTTTTTTGTTGATCTTGTGTCAAATATAATTAAATAATAAAAATTACAACCATATAAGGAAGTTAACGACAAAATATAATAAGACAAGTGTTATTTTTTTATAACTTATTAGTTATTATATAAATAATACCATAATAACATTCAACAAGATTTTATAAGATTCTCTAAATGAGATTTCATATACAGGGTGACTGGTGAATTACTATCGATATTTGAGGACGTGATATTTGACGATCATATATGACAAAATAAAAATTAATATAACATAAATATTAATAAACTTCTAAGTAAAGTTAACCAAAAGTTGTGTAATTAATTACGCATCGTGTGAACCCCCTACAGATTAGGTATACACTGACACTCACACATACGCGTGCCGTGACGTAGTGTTGTATCAGCACGTCGCCGCACGCGTCCACACTTGAACATTTGGAACGTGTCAACACTTTACTTATTATTACGGAAATTTTGTCAAAAATTAAGTGCCTATTTTTTTTACATAATTCGAATGAGAATCATGTACCGAGTATTCTCCTTAAATATTGATAGTAATTCACCAGTCACCCTGTATATTTTTATGTCTCTGTATATATATGTATATTGTCATACCTGTTCTAGGTCTACGTCATCTCCAAGCTTCATATTTTTGGTGTGAATGCGTAGTATCTCGAGTCTGCCAGTTGCATCAGGAATGCCGATGTCTATCTCTCTATCAAACCGTCCGAAGCGCCGCAGGGCCGGGTCGATGGAGTTTGGACGATTGGTGGCGGCCATCACTATCACGTGAGATGACTTCTTCATACCTGGTGAGAAGAGTTCCATTAGGTGACTAATATTCTTCTTCTACATGGCAATTTCCCAGCTTTAGCCAGGGTCTGCCTTACGTGTTGTGAATAGTTTTGGTTATTTGTTTTTACGACCGGCCGCCTGCCTGACATCAACCCTCTTTGGGAATTAGGTGACTAATATTAATACTAGGTAATGATGTGCCAAAATTACATATCCGTGTCGAGATTTATAATTACATATGTTGAAATCCCTATGTTTGAGAACAAATTTTTATCTATCTGGCACATTAGTAATTAAGACAATGATTTTTTATATCAATTGTAAGGACATTCATATTGAAAAGTTTTATTAACAAAATTATCAGATACAACAAATTAGCATGTATGGTCTAATAGGTCAGTGCAGATGCCTCTAAAAATGATGAAAAGTTAAAATAAATTATAGTAGAATGAAACCCATTAGAAAAAGAGGGGAATATTATAAAAATTAAGGGAAAAATAATTTACGGGCGATCTGAGGTCGGGAAGGTTACGAGCGACCGTTTTTTAAGGGTAAAAAATGGATTTTCTCGCTTTCCGGAAAAACTAAGAGTTCTAATGAAAAATGTTATATGGCAAAGATGTAGGTAATAAAAAGATCTAAAACTTTTGTATTTACACTTTTTTCACATAACCTGAAAATTTATGTGATAAATTCGAAAAACCAAGTTTTTGGTTTTTTATTATTATCTCTTACAAAAAACAATTTTTTGTCACGAAATTCGGTGAAAACTTTCCTTTTGATGTTACAAATGCACTGTAATTTATTTGATTAGAAATATTTATTTTTTCAGCTTATTTTGAATAAATACCTAAAAATCAGCCTCATTTTCAATCGAAAATTCATCCGTCAAAATATTAGCGTTTTTCAAAAATTTTGTGTGTTTTCTGTTCGTTGAAATCTCTATTTTCTCATGGTGAAGAAATAAATATAAGTTTCTTACTTACAGTACCATTTTTGGATAAAATAATCATGTCTCTTTTAATGAAATGACACTCGACATCGGTTTGAAAATGCTCTTTCTAATTTATTTTTAATAGTTGAGTCCTCTGCAAGTTCTCCAGATAGTCCCTCTTTTAGGTAATTTACGGAAAATTGGCATTTAGCTGCTAAATTTTTTTGAAAATAGCTGATATTTTGACGGGTGATTTTTCGATTGAAAATGAGACTTTTCGGTATTTATTCAACAAAAGCTGAAAACATAAATATTTCTAATCAAATAAATTACAGTGCATTTGTAACATCAAAAGGAAAGCTTACACCAAATTTCGTGACAATTTTTTTTTTATAAGAGATAAAATAAAAACCAAAAAATTGGTTTTTCATATTTATCACATAAATTTTCAGGTTTAATGTGAAAAAAATGTTAGTACAAAAGTTTTAGATCTTTTTATTACCTACAACTTTGCCATATAATATTTTTTCTTAGGACTTTTAGTTTTGCCGGAAATCGAGACAACCCATGTTTTACCCTTAAATACCCATCCCCATACCCTTCTCGACCTCCGATCGCCCGTAAATTATTTTTCCTTTAAATTTTATAATATCCCCTCCTTTTCTAATGACTTTCATTCTACTATAATTTAATTGTTTTAAAAGCTATCGGCACTGGTCTATAATTGTTTTGTATCGTGTAAGATTTCGTAACTTGTAAAACCTTTTAAGGTACAAAGTTTACACATTCTGGAATAGATGTGTCCTAGATGAAAAAGAGTGAAAAAATAACGATAAATTATTATATATAAAATATATACCGTCCATAAGAGTAAGCAGTTGTGAGACGATTCTTCTCTCAACTTCGCCGTGTGTCTTCTCTCGTTTGGGAGCGATGGCGTCCAATTCATCAATGAAAATGATAGCTGGAGAATTCTTGTCAGCCTCTTCGAAAGCCTTACGCAAGTTGGATTCAGATTCACCAGCGAGCTTGGACATGATCTCCGGGCCGTTGATCAAGAAGAAGAACGCACCTATTGTATATAAGAAACATTGTATTACTTATAAAGATAACGCCATAAAAGTTGATTACTAACAATAATGTTATGAATAGAAGCAATTATGAGTTTTAATATATGAAAATATGGAGTTTTTCAATCAAATCATCGAATTTAGATTTCTAAATATGATTTTTATTTTGTTTAATAACTTCTATCCTAGTTCAATTGCTTTATTGTTTCCTACATACCAAACATACTACTAATACTATAATTGCGAAAGTTTGTGAGTATGTCTGTTTTTTACTTCTTCACGCTCAAACGGCTGAGCCGATTTTGATCAAATTTTGTATACAGGGAGCTGACGTCCAGGAATATCACATAGGCTACTTTAAATCCCGGAAATCAGCGGGTAACACCGCGGGGATCAGCTAGTTATATATAAAAAATGTAACAGGAGTAATGTTTACCAGTCTCATTGGCGACGGCTCTAGCGATGAGTGTTTTCCCTGTCCCCGGTGGGCCATACATGAGTATTCCACGCGGCGGCTTCACACCGATGGCTTTGAACAGCGAGGGGTGTCGCAGAGGAAGTTCCACCATCTCCTTGATCTGAGCCAACTGCTTGCGACAACCGCCGATATCATCGTAGCCAACAGCATTAAGAGCTTCTTCCTCTTCCTGTACATTAAATTGTATTTAGAATAGTTACTTTTCATATAAATTGTTGATATAAAAATATACTAATAGTCACGACCCCAATATATTAGTAGTAGAAACTGGTGAAGTATGTTTTATTTTGTTTTACTATGCTGTGCCCTGAACAGGCTAAAAATTTTGCTAAATATTAAAATATGCATATTATTTTGATAAATGAAAAAAGAACTAATAAAAAAGACACAATGGACACTATTTAGACTAGCAAAACTGCATTGAAAAAAAAAAATGAATAAGATTGAAGTTTCTGTTTGTAAAAAACAGGAGCTATTTACCCAATTTTGTCAATACTTGCACTGTCAGATAACTCATAACTTAGGCTACTTTTACTGTACAAAAAAAATATATTTCCAATGTATAAGCTAAAACAAAAAATTCTCTACTATGAAAAAAACACCATACATATACATAATATCCGTTTCTGTACTTACTTCTCGTTTAATAGGTTCCCCTTCACAATGTATGACAGTGTCTGGAGCAACAATACAGTAAGGCGCGGGGTCTGTCTCCACAACCTTGAACTCCACAGCCCTCATGCCGCCACGAACCATGAATGTATCATCACGGTGTATGGGACGATAGGCCTCCATGAAGTACGGCTTTAAGTACACCTCGAATAGATTACTGTGGAAACAAACAACATTTATATTATAGTTTTCTCTCCTAACACAAGTTAATTCCATTACTTAAAAGAAACTCCCTAGCTGTATCTGTTGTATCTAGGTATGAGTTACAGTTTTCGTTATATTTCATGATTTCTTATAGGTTATACGATTTATAAAGGCAGGAAATGAAAATGTAACACTCGCGATACTAAAAGAAACATTAATAAATATTTTATTTGGAATATATAAATTTTGTTAACATATGATAATCTTTAAAAATTATTAAGATGAATGCTCTTAACAAAGTCATTTCATTGTTCGATTACAAATTTCAACAAACAACATACTCATAGTTTTTTAAGATGACTATTTTTTTAATGAATAAAAACAAAGTACTAACCCAGTGAGACCTTCAACGGAATCGTCAATTGGCAGTATGTGGACACGCTTGCCGTATTTGACCGATGGACAGGGTGCTATGGACACCACATCTGACAAACGAACGCGCAGATTGTTCCTGACCACACGATTCATACGGATTTTCTCATCGGGACAGTTGTCATCTGAGAGCACGATGCACACGGTCTCCTTACGACGCTTGCCCTTCAGCAATACAGTGTCTCCACGGAATAACTGTAGCTGCTCCATCTTCCCCTGTTCACGTATTACATTATTTTATAGAGTGAACTTGTGTATAAATAAAAAAGTATTGATTTCTCTGTGTTAATGATCATAATTATATTTTATTGCATGTTGATTGTGTGACGAAAAAAATAATAATTTGAGCTACAAAAATTACTACTATAAAGAATAATTATAATATTATAATTAAATATATTACTAGAGTACACTTAGCTATATACTTTTTTTTTATGTCAAAGGTGGCAAATGAGCAGACGGCCTACTATATGGGCAGTAGTGACCGTCGCCCATGGACATCCACAACATAGATGTTGCGGAAGCGTTTCCAACGTTAATTGTTGAAGAAAATGGAGTGGTGGGAACAGGGAAATAGCAGGAAAAGGAAGGAATAGGGAAAAGGAAACCGCCTCTCACTTATCGGTCGAAACGCAGCCACTAAAGGCTACTTTACGCCAATCTCCTGTGAGAGGGTGGTACTTCCCCGGTTAAGCCAGCCTATATTCGAGCTGTAGTAACTTGGCTACAGCTAGGCTCTACCACCTACTATATCGCCTGAGTATAATATTAAATATTGATATTATTATTAATAATATTTTATTTCGATCATTATATACTTTGCATTTAAATGTTCAATAAGTTTAAATTGTTGAAAATTAGTCAAAGAATTGTAACCTTATACAATATATTATAGCATCACATTATTGTTGGTAGTATATTCTAAAAAAAAAATATTAAAATAAATTTCATAGATGTCTTGTAAAGAAAATAACATTTGAATTTAATAGAAATAGTTCCATTTCATTGTTAATATGAAATCATACACATAAAAAATAAGTTGCCAAAGACAAAATGTCAGAGGGATTGAGCAATCTAGAGAGAGAACGTAAGACACCAGTGACTATTTTCACAAAAGCATGAAAAAGTAGATATATTTTGAACAAGCGTATTTCAAACATACAAACATATTTTCTCGTCAAGCTCAACCAATAACCGAGTGCAACGATTGTATAAAATTATGGTTACAGAATTCAAATTTTTATATAAAAATTAAAAGTATTAATGGGCATAAAATTGTATGACATCTTTAAATTCAAGAAAATCTTCGAGTATTTAATGTATTGTGAAATTATCTATTTGCTTCATATAAACAGATTAAATAGCTATGTGGTCAACGACCTGCAAGATTATTTCATTTCTAGTTATGTATCTTTAAGTCTTTGCTTTATATACCAATAATTTGTTAAATCAGTACAACTCATAAATAAATCAAAATTTTATGAATTTCACAAAAGCGCTACTGCTATTTTAACCTCAAAAATATTTAAATAACAATAATTATAATAAAAACATATGTCAAACTAAATTTCAAATGTTTCGTAGGTCTAATTTCATTAATTTTAGAATATTTTTAAGGAACTTTAGGTAAAGATACATTTCCTCGGAGTTGCACCATCCTTAGTCAGCATTTTTTGATGCTGAGTAATATAGAATTATAACATTCTGGCAAAATACGTAACTTACATATATTTGTTTTTCATTTTAAATATGGTTCATGAACATTTGACTGTTGAGCTGTTATTGAAAAATTAAGGGGAGGCTCCAGGGGACAACAATTAACAACTGGAAAATACTGCATATTATCTTGTTTCATATAATAATAAAAAAATCTAAATAAATTGTTGCTATGTAAATCCAGTAAGTAACTGTTAAATGGGTTGCGGTTGTATAGCGTCCCCCTTCTGTTTAACATCATTAAGAGTCGGAACAAAGGACTTACCTGTGATAGGGCGACGACCGAGTTGTCATCGCTCACGGCTTCCTCGACGATCAGACGGTTGGGCCTGTCCTTACGGCGCAGGATCGCGGTAGAGAGATCATCAGGGCTAAACGAACGACACAAATCAGTTATGACGCCGGGCGAAACTAATTGCTACAACTTATATAGAAAGTTATAATATACGTTCAATATTTAGCATATTTACAACGAAACATTCATATCGCAATGATTTTTGACACTGAGACATCATAAATATCAAGTTCTCCTGTAATGTTAGACATGATGACAAGCCAATTTCGAAAATTGGTTTCCATGATATTTGAATTTTGCATTATTCAGCCATAAAACCACTTTCATTTATACATTATAGTTTTGTTAAAAGTCTCACCTCTTATTATCTGCCATTTTCTCACTAAATAAAGTTAAAATTCGTAAATTTAATAATTATTTGTACTGCCGAATGTATAATCACTCTTCAACACTTCATGAGTCTGCTTTGCGTGACGTTGCCGTATTTCATTTGTTCTATATCGATAACGTTAGTGTTGCCAAATAATTTTGTATTTATGCTAACACATTTTCATTTTCATTCTCAACACCTTTTTATACATGTAGCGGAATAAATAAAAATATTATTTCCTAAAATTGTATAAAAAGTTTAAATTTTAATTTGGAATCGAAACTCTTCTGCGATCTATTTAAATTAATTGTTAAGTCAAAGGTATTAACTAAAAATAGAAATATATTTGTCTCTTCTCATTAAATGTATTAAACAGCAATTTTATTTTACCAAATTGGATGGACGTATGTATATATAAGTTTCGTTTAAAATATATTTATTATTTATTGATAAATAACAAGAAGGTTGTCAAAGTAAAATATTTTATTTTAATTTCCATAGTTTTAAAATATTTTAAAAATTGTATAATTTTTTTTAATATTTTAAAAGTTATTTAATTCATGTATTATTTATTAGAATCATTAACAATATTAGTTTTAAAATATTACCTAAAAATGAAATATAAAAAATAACAGTGTCTTTCAGGTCAACATAGCAAATTGGTTTCTTTTAATTTGAAATGAAGAACCGCAAAGTAATGATATGATATAAATATTTTTAACAAAGAGATAAGTACAATGGTATTACTAATAATGTATATAAGGTAATTGAAATTTAAATTAAACACTTAGATTTAAAAATGATATTAACATGCTAACATAAGATCAATAAAAAATAACTAAAAATAAAATATCCGAACTAAAAAAATAAAAATATAAAATTTCATTTTCTTGTATCGTGATCGCGTCTATATTCATCAATAGCTAATCTTAACATTTTTTCTAAATAATCCCGATCTCTGGCACTTGACTTCCATATTCTGTCCATGATAACATAATTTATGACCTTGTCCGTCTCATTGTCAATAAATAGTTTATCGTCTGTACCATAATCTTTTAAATCGGAAATATAGTCTTGAAATAAAATATGTTCTTTTAGAGTAAATGTTGCATCCATGGCTTTAATAAAGTCTGTCTTGTGTTCTTTTGGCTTGCTAAATTCTTCTCGATACAAACGGAATTCGTTTTTTAAATCTTCTCTATACATTTTACTAATATACCGAATATGACGTGCAAATCTTCTAGCATATTTGTTTTCTATTTTGCTTATGTATTTGTATAGCGTTCTACAAAACTTTGATAACCTTTTCTCAGGAAATGTTGTAGTGAGCAAATCTAGAAGGCTACGAATAAAATTTTCGAAAATACCTTCCGATCTTACATTAGATTTCTTTTCCATAAAAGAAAGTAACAACAGTGGCTCGTTGGGATTTTTTACATTTGTAAGACCCGATATACTTAACGGAATACCGATGTCTAGATTTACTAAAAATATTATACAGACACTTAATACAAAAAACATTTTCAATGTGGCAACATTGATAACAGTTGAAAAACTAAATTAAATTTCACGGTATGAAATGCAATTTTAATGTTCACAATTTAATAGTTTATTTTAAAAGTCGCCTTGATAACTCGTATATTAATTGTACTTGATTTTTGACAAAACATTATGTTAGAATAAGAACCATTATTTACAATTTTATTTTCGTGCATTGATACGAAGTCTTTGTTCCAATTAAAATTGAAAAAATATTAATAGATATAGGAAAACAGATACAAAATGACAACAGGGCAAACGTTTTAGTCCATTTAATAAATAAATTTGTCGTAAACAAATTTCCTTTACATTTAAAACGATTAATCCTTTGATTCAGTCATATATTCTATTATAGCAGCATTAAATTTTAATAGAATATCATTTTTTACATCATCAGTTAATTTACTAATGGTGTAGAAAATCATATCAAAAACATCCCTCGTCAGTTTACGGATATGACGTTTTATTTTGCGTCCATATTTTTTTAATCTGTAAATGTAAACATCCATTTTTATATCCTGTCTCACAGTATAAAGAGAGTTCAATGCTTTAAATAATTCTTTTCTCTTTGGTTTATTTTCTGATATAATGTTTTTAAAGTTTTTAACTCTTGTCTTTATAATTTTACCGTGATAAGCCGATAATATATGAAGACCTTTGGCGAATCTTCTAATCATCATTTTCATAAGAAAGCCCGATCCGAAACCTTTCAGACTCTTTGCTATTATTTCCATATAATTCGGAATTCTTGAATTCGAGAAGTCTTCTAATATGACGTCACATACTTTTATGAGAAAATTAAAGAGAGGTCCATACGTCTCTGGTCGTGGCGGTAAAGTAATTTTTAAATTTATTGGTCTTAAAATATGAGATTCATCTATTTCTTGACCACTAACATCCGAGTGATCTTTTTTTACATCTACATTCTCCTTATAAACTTCTTTTGAACTTAAAACACTCGAAAATAAGCAGTTATATAAAAAATAAACAGAAATAATTTTCATGATTCTTCCACTTGCGGCTTAGTAAAAATATCTTTTATAAGTCCAATAACTAAATAACATTCTCATACATTTCTTTATCTGAAACAAATATCATAAAAAATCAGGTTAGTCAAATAAAAAGACCTCATACACGCTTCACGAGAAGTTATAATTATGTAAATATTTATTTTGTTAATTATAATCACCTTCCAAACGATAGCAGTCAATAAAGCAGCTAAAAGATACTGCTCCGATGCTATTAAAATGCAACCGAATACCATAGCGTCGAATGTTGCCAGACTACATTCTTCACCCATCCTAAAATTAATACAAAAATTGTCATTACATATTTATTTGAATTACTACAAACATATAATATAAAAAATGCTGTTAGAATTACCATGTAGTAGATAATAGTGAAGGTATTGAGACGTTATCGTCGTAAAGCAAAATACTAGTGTTCCCGCCTTCACGGTCTGTGAGTTCAATGTCCAACAAACGTTCTAAAACCGTCCTCTCACTGGCAACCCAGCTGAGACTATCTAAGGCCTGTAACACAACTTACAAATAAAAAATAGGTTCACTTCATTTAAATTGTTATAAGAAAAGGGTCACCCTTTCAAAAAATGCTCCAAGAAATTGTGATAAAAGAGTGTGATTGGTGAGGCCGTCGGTGTAGTCACCTGAAAAGTAATTTTTTATATAAAAAATGTACATATTATATGAAGTAGTTTCAAGGTACTTATATAAATTATTATAATAGTACTTACTAGAGTTTTTGAGTTTAACGAAAGCGTTTCTGAAAGTACGATAAATGTTTAAGAATTTGTATATATTTTTAGCATTTTTTTCATACAATTACGTTTTAATATCTACCTCAAATGTGGTGAACAAATAAGACGACAATGTGGCAGCGTGTATGACATCGATCTTACATCCAAATCATCATTACTGAAACAAAATCTTAAATTATTAAAAGTATAATTATTAATCTATACTAATATTATAAAGCTGAAGAGTTTGTTTGTTTGTTTGTTTGAAAGCGTTAATCTCCGAAACTACTGTTTCAAATTGAATACTTCTTTTTATGTTGGATAGTCCAGTTATCGAGGAAGGCTGTGGGCTATATAACATCACGCTACGACTAATAGGAGCAAAGATATTGTGGTAAATGTGTAAAAAACGGGAGAAATTATTTCATCTTTGAAGCCTTCCGTTGCGTGCGCCGTGAAAACGGTTCAAGATACACAAAAAATATGTATGAAAGAATAATAGCTCTTTTAATGATCTAAAAAACAGTCCACAACAGTATATGTCTATCTTTTAAGATTAACTCACAAAAACTGTTTTTATGGTACCTAATTTGGTCGAAATAATTTTTTTAAGTCGTATCAACATAATAATATTAATCTTTATTCAAATAAACAAATAAATATGTTGTTGGTTAAGAGTACTTCATTGTGAATAAAAAAAAACATAAGTATTATCCTGAAAATTCTACGGGAACTCGACCATTCCGAAAACCCCGCAAGAACGGGAACTATGTGGGAAGAACCAGAAATCTGTCGGAAGTCACTATTCCACGCGGACGGAGTCGCGGCAAAAGCTATTTGGTACTACAAATATTTAAGTGATTTTCTTCTGAAATTCCGTTTAGTAGGAAAAAAATACTCACCGGCCATTCACATAATGTGCATAATATTCATATTGGAACACTAGCAGTGATATTTCTAAATTTATGCACAGTTTGCTCAACTTAGTTGTGTTCGGCGTAAAAAACTTTTCCTTTAAAATGAATACCAATGAGACACAGCAGTAGGAGATCCACCAAACCAGTGTCGCCATCACCCATTTATAACCTTGACTGTTTGATGGGTAGGATTCATATTGGTTCAGGAACTAGAAATTATAATATAATAAGTATTACTGACATACACAATATTTGACCAAACAAAAAAAAAATTGTGAAACCAATGATATACTTGGGAGAGTAGGCGTTTAGGTTTAAAATTAGGCTTCGTCGGAAGCATGCCAAATAACATATATGTATATCCCATTTCAAAATCATAAATGTTTCTAGATGAAAAATTTTAAACAAAACTTTTTTCGATCTTAAGATAAGTAGTCACAAAGATATAACAACTTTTTTAAAAATAATCTTTATAGATATGGGTTTCAAATATGGTTTGATACATCATAAACATTACAAAACTACTCACATATAAAGCAAGTACTGTAACAGTGATCGTATAACTGGGAGGTACTCGACGTTTCGTCTGCACACTCATCAGTTCGGTAACCAACAAGTCTATTTTCCAATAATTCTCTTTAATAGATGGCGCTAATCACAGAAACGTCAAATGTTATATGTTAAAAAAAGATATAAGGATAATTTACTTCTATAACATACCATTGTTTTAATTGTCTAGAATTATATATACAACTTTTTTTTTTTATTTTGGTATTAAGAACATATTTACCTCGAACTAATGGATTGTATTGCGACCAATCTATGAATATAACTTCGCAACGACACTGATTCCAATTTATCCACAAAACTTTAAGAAACTGCAATCAAAAGTTAATAAAGGAGTGCATATATTTAAACATCATTTGGTACCTAACATAAATTACATTGAAAAAATAGTAAAATAAAATCTATCTTTAATGAATTTGTTAATATATGTGATATATTATATCTTTATATATTTAGAGTTAAAAAAGTTAAAAAATAAATAAGTATCATATGAATGAGTCAAAATTTTCTTTAAAACATTAAAACAACTTAGAAAAATATTTTTTGTAAGAATTTTTATCGTCAAAGTAATCACTAATAGTATCCAGTTTTTGATCCTCTAATTTTCGTATATGATATTTATTATAAGCGAAAGTACTTATATGAATGAAAAACTTAACCTTATTTGACTAATCTTCCGGTTCACAACACAATATTTAAAAAATATATATACAACCGTGGGTATTTTTCTATTAATATAAAACCTATTTATAATCACCTTCATAGTAAGAACAGTATATGTCATTGATCTAATCAGATGCTCTTCATCTTCCGAGAGCGGGAGAGTTACACTGAGAGTCCCAGCCTCCGAGCAGAAAGAGTGAAGAGATGAAATAAACGTTGCCTGAATGATAATAAAAAAACAACATACTTTATGTTACTGAACAGTTGTTCTAGAAGTTTCTATGACATACGATCTGTTTTTAAATGTGTGAATGTTAGTTTCAAAATCGCAGTTCAACTCTAATTCAGTTATTCATATTTATTGAATCAATTAAACTGACTTATTCTATTAATGTTATAGAATTATATGTATATAACGAAAAGCGATATCCGGGAAGCTTCGGTTAACAAACAGCTTGCGTAGATAAAAATTTTTTCATAGTAAACATTTAATTTGAGTCATGTTTAGAGCAATTAATTGGACACAAAACTTGACACGCCTACGTTGAAATCCAATAGTGAATGACATTTATTTAAGAAATTAGAACCTTACAATGTACAGAGCATCGGCAACATAACCACAAAATAAAGGCACTATTATGAAGTGTCTTGCACCACGACGCGTTGCCCCTCGCCACTGAAGTAAACTATAAACCACAAAGATCGACGACAACACAGCTCCTGATATCTACGGATTTAAAACAGATATCAATAATTCGCCTTAAACAATGGTTTTGAACAAAGATTCTCGACTTGTTACTTGTATCTTTTAAACAATTCCTCATACTTCCAAGTTAGTTGTGACCCCGGCGTCAGTCGTTTGATGTTCAACTATGATCGATGTTGTGATAGTATCGTATGATGGATGTTTCAAAGCATACTGAATCTCCACAAGTAACTGAACTTTTAAAGCACCTTCGCTATAAACATCGCGATCTATTCTGGAAATACATATTGAAAGATTTGCTTTTGTTTCACAAAAACATTCATATCGTGATATTTTCTATATTGTTCATTACAATGTCGTATTGATATGGGTTTCAAGGCTTGTTTTTATGCATGAAAAGTTTTCTATACTTTTATGTTAATAGTATATTCAACAATTTTCATTCACTTTTGTTGTGAGCACTTAATCTCTATAGGTTTTTTAAAATAAATCAGAAAACATATTGGATTATATGTATATACAGGGTGACTGGTGAATTACTATCGATACTTGAGGACGTGATATTTAACGATCGTATATGACAAAATAAAAATTAATATAACATAAATATTAATAAACTTCTAAGTAAAGTTAACCAAAAGTTATGTAATTAATTGCGCATCGTGTGAACACCCTACAGATTAGGTATACACACACACACACACGCGTGTGGCGGCGTGGTGTTGTATCAGCACGCCGCCGCCCGCGTCCACACTTGGAACACTTGGAACGTGTCCACACTTTATTTATTTATACGGAAATTTGGTCAAAAATTAAGTACCTATTATTTTTTACATAATTCGAATGAGAATCATGTACCGAGTATTCTCCTTAAATATTGATAGTAATTCACCAGTCACCCTGTATAATATGTTAGTTAGTGTAAAATAGTTACAAAAAAAATTGTTTTTAACAAAAGACCCTTGCACTTTACGACAATGAATACAAATGCATCGAGGAATCTTAACTTCATTATTAAAGAGAAAAACAGTAAGTAAATTAAATATATATGGCTTGAATTTCATACACATTTTTGATCACTAATGTGTAGGTACTTCCTTACCTCATACTCAAAAGTATATTTCTTAAGTACACCGTGCTCGTGGTATTGGTAGTAGTAGAAAGATATTTGCTTATTAAAAAGAACTTTCTAAACTTATTGGAAGACCAGGACCCTCTCTAGAAACAGGAATACAAAGAATTGTTTAAATATGTTATTGAATCGAAGATGACGTCATTTAATTGATTAAATTTATCAAATTAATTCATCATATTATAATGTTAACATTATAGTCCTCACGCTAGAGACATTTACCTCCCGCTTTATGTGAGTGGTAAGACGGAAGGCCGCGACTGATTTTCATTATAATTTGACATACACGAGGTTTTTAAGGACAAATAGATCTAAGAAAAGGCAAGTCAAAATTCGTCTTACTAATATGATGGAAAAAAATCATTTATATGCAGAGGTATAGGCATACTATTAACAATAGCAATAAAAATAGATTATATAGTAGTAGATAGTAGGCAGCTTCATCCATAAAATTTAAAAAGGTATTTAAAATTTGTAAATAAAAGTAGGCAATTTTACATTTTGTATTCACATCTCTGAATTTAAATTCTTTTATTGATTTTATTTATAAGGTCCATACTTTTAATGTCCCTTTTACCTTAAAACAACAAAAATAAGATATATTTTTTATTTGTCGTAGACTTGTCGGATCAATCTCAGGGTATTAATATCTTGTGTGTTAGGGATAAACTGTCCCGAACTATTGTATTATGACAAAATGAGTTATATTTATATGCATTTACATCCGACCGCTCACATACTTCAGGAGGTGTCTAGCATTGTATATATAATTTATATTACTATTTATTCTGATTATAGCAAAATACATACATCGACGTAATAACCGCTAGGCTTCCGTATGACTAGTGGAAGAGATTTAAGTGTTTCTTTATATTGGACGTATATCTCGAAAATATCACCGTAGTCCGTGGAAAACACTTCTGATACATTTCTTACACATTCATGTCTAAAACATAAATAAAAAAAACATTACTATAATTATACTATTAACATATAAATAATATATAATATTTTGTAAAGAACTCAACTCATCTCCAACTATAAAATGAATAAATAGTATACTGTAGAGACAATTACGCCATTATTTTTTTAATAGTAATGTTTTTTTATACATGGAAACCCACTAGGGTTAAGGCTACTTAACACAATGAAATCTTCCCTCATATATTTGAATATGGTAGAGATGTTTGTGATAGCCTTATCACAAACATCTCTACCAAAATATAATAAAGGAATCATAGTTTTTGGAGTAGCACAAATTGATCCTTTATATTTATCCATGTTGAGTACATGTCAAAAATATATAAACTTACCTAAAACTCGCGCCTATTTTAATTTTCATAGAGGGTAGACATTTTTGAAAGAGTTTATCTGTGTTCTGAAATATTTTCAATCCTCCACTGGCAGTATGTGTTGCCAGAATTAAATCTATAGAATTCTAGAAATAGTTTACGATACATATTAATAAACAACAACATGTTTATAATTTCAAAAATATAAATGTTACACATGAATAACAATCTCACCATAGAAAGCGACAAAGATAAATCTGCCTTGTTGCTTTTGAAGTCATCAGTAGTAAGTAATGGCAAACCTATAAATAAGAATTTAAAAGTTCATACGTAGTATAGCCAATGATAATTTGCAACGATAAGGCTTAAAAGGACTCGTATCCAGAGCCGTTAAAACATTTACTAAAAAAAAAAGAATTTAAAATTTTTACGTATAGGTATGAAATGTTAAGTTAAAATGTAACTTAAAAGACGTAAGAAAGACTTCTATTAAGCTTCGTAATATTCGTAGTTTTAGCAAAAAGTTTTTAAAAGCTTTATGTAAATTCTAGTTTACCTTTAAGACTGGTCAAATTACTTTGTATCCAGAGTCTACAGGGACCGGCTGGGTGGTAAGTATTATGATTACGGACACAGACGCTCGCTAAAATACGACATGCGCGGTAGTCTTGTTTCTAAAATAATTAAATACTTATCATTTATAAAAGATTAAAAAAGTACACGGATATTAACAGAGACAACTAATGAATATATGTATATGTGTGTGTGTGTGCGTGTGTGTAATTCCATAAAAAATAGAAGATGCTTCACATAAAAAAAAAAATCTTAATTTTTCGTTTCTTAGATTAAGTCATTAGTAGTTAGTGAGACGTTTCAATACTCACAGTACATAAATATTCCAATTTTATAAATTCTAAAACTTCGTCTGGATGTAATATGTTTTCCGAGTACTTAGGTCTGTCTAGAACATATTTCCTTGGAATACAATTTCCTTTAACTACTATTTCATGTTTCTTACAAGCGCACGCTTCACACCAAACGCATCTATTGTTCAGAGCTTTATAACCGCGGGCACATTTAACACATTGAACCTCCTTCATCGGAGATCCGTCAACATTTTGAGTCACTGAAATAAAAAAAACATACGATCAAAGAATCAAACTATATGTAATGTAATAAAAAGATAATAATTTACGAACCAAAAAAGTATATATAGCAATGCAAAGAAATATATTATTTTATAAGTATAAAAGCATTAATGAAGACCTCTTTACCCGATATATAATCATTAGGACATTTCCTACAAACAATACGGCCGGCAGAACTCTGGCATCTACGTGAAACACAAGAATTCCCATCGCTTGAGACAATTTCTGTAATATTACATGGTCTGCATTTTGATATGCCGCTCGGAACGCTATACTCGGAACATGAACATCCAAACCCTGAAATGAATAACATTCCCTTAAAAAATATAAACATATCATTCTTTCATTCATTCATTCATTCATTCAAAGCAGTTATTCTATATTTAAAAATTATGTCAAAACCCCTTATTTCAGCCAGTAAGTGATGGGGTTATGCAATAAAATGATAAATCTCACCATCAGCTGACGTGACCAGAGATGCATTAGCGGGACAAGGCAGGCAATCCATCAAGCTCGGTTCATAAAAGTGTCCAACACCACAATTACCAGGCACTTTGAAACCGTGTACGCCATTTAATATGATCAAAACAAAAAACATTTTATTTTGCCAGCAACTGATTACGGATGATAACCTTTACTTAAGATACATACATTTTCTTTCTACTTTAACAAATAATGAGGAAGTATTACCCTTCTCCACCATAAAACAGTTATATTATGCGAAATTTACTAGATATACCCGGGGACAAAAGTAATAGGTGTTTATAACATGCTCTGCGGTAGGCCCTCGTTTGTTTACGTTATCCTACCCACCGTTGCCTAGATACGAATGAGGGAAGTCGCTAAAGAATAAATATTTTATTTTATAAAAATAATAATAATAAAAAACAACAATTTTCTTTAAAAAAAATTATTATGAAAATTTATGATTCTTTAAATATTTCCGAATTTAAATTAACTTATAAGTTTTGTTAACTTCATTATTGAATTGTATGCGTAAACTTTACTTACTAGAAAATATTCCTAGAGGAATTTATGGCAGATCATGTTTGTTTCCAAAATACATAATGGAATGGCCCCGTTGAATAAAATAAATGTAATTTTTAATAGATTTTAATACGTAACAACAGACGACCTTTTTTATACTAGTATCTTTATTCATAAGTTACATCTTGTTATATTCATGATTATACATCCTTTAACACGGGTTGCTGCGTTTTACCTTTGGTTCATTATTTGGTCTCTTTTGTAATATAGTTATTCCCCTTTATTATATACTCTTTAGCTTTATAAACAAGTAATTAAAATTATTTATTCTTAATAGCTGTTAATGCCACCATTATCTCAAAATTATTAGAAATATAAAATCAAAAAATCAGTTCTTTATACATTAGCAACCTGATTTGCTGTATAAGTGGACATTAACCCCGTTTTTTAAAGTTGGTTAAAATACTGACATACAAAACCAAAACACCCTCGTTTATTTTGCATTCACATCCATCAAAAATAAAAGCTTTTCAATAAATCTATCGTAACTTACTTTTAAAATGTATGATTTATAGCTCACACAAATAGACAAGTCTTTTATTTCGAAATGATTTCACCACGAACAATTATTTTGTTCTCATGATACAGACCTAAAGACAAAATGTATTGGATTAAGTTTGTTTTAATAGTTACTTATTATAATCAAATAAACGCCAAATTAACGGTGCAAAATTACGACAAAGAAAAATATGAAGATTACATGAAGATTGCTAGTGAAATAGCGAATCACAATTTCAACTATAGAATACAAACAGTGATAGTATGGAACGACGTGGATGAATTTATAGTAAATAAATTCATAAAGTCTTATAAAGGAACAGTAATGATGGAAAAAAGAGACACTCTCCGTCCACAACAAGTTGTGTTGATCATCAGAACATATTATTCTTTAATAAAAATACTTTACCATCTAAAACCTGATCTAAAAGGGAAAACTCTTCTTGAAAGTGAAGCACAATTTCTGATAATTCTTCTGTCCTATCCGCATAGACTTGAAAAAATCAATAAACTACTGTGGAGCTATTACGCAACAGATGTCGTTATTTTAATCAGAGATAAGAGTCAAAACGTATCTTTATACACATACTTCCCTTATAAGAATCCTATGAGTTGTCAGAACGTCGAACCCACTCTCATAGGTTTCTGGGACAATGGAACAATACTATCGAAAGATTTATATCCTAACAAAATGAGCAACATGCACGAATGTCCGCTATATATTTCTACAAACAAAGTATTTCATCCAACAACAGAACAAAAAATAACTGGAGAAATTATCAAAAGAGAAATTATCCGATTGCTCAGGGACGCTATGAATTTCACTCCAATTATTTCTACTAGAGATTACCTCTCTATTGATTCGGATGATGCAAAGATTTGGTCGGAGACTATCAACGATATAATAACAGGTTCTTCAAACATATCAACCTGCAGTATTTTGCCATTCATGGATAGATTAGGCTTCCTTGACTATTCGGTACCCTATTTTAGAGTAACATTAGCGTGGCTTGCTCCTCCTCTCGTGCCCAGGGATACTTGGTGGCGCCTTTTAACTCCATTAAATGGATATCTATGGCTGGTTCTCTTACTTGTCGTGTTCATGGTCAAATCGGTGCCATTTATTATGGAATTTCCTTACGTGAAAAAGTTTGTAAAAAAACATTTTAAGGACGCTGATAAATTACATGGCGTTACAATAAGGATTTGGGCTGTCATGATGGGACAACCAATTAGAGTAATGCCGAGACGTTTTAGAGATTTTTATGTTCTTGGTCTGTGGATATGGTTTACATTTGTCGTGCGGAATGCATATCAAAGTGTTTTGATTGGAGCCTTGAAATCTGACGTCACTGTTGGAAAGTTCACAAATCTTAAGGAAGCTCAAGATTATGGTTACAAATTCGGTGGTAGAGCTGGCGTTTTGGCTCATTTTGAACATGATCCATTGATACGTGAGGGATTCCAAATTATACCAGAGTCCGAATTCGAAAAAGTTTTACAAGAGATACTGGGTGAAAGAAGAAAGTTTTTACTCGCCGTATCATTAGACTACGTATCTGCTTATTGCATATCCCAGGGGATTGATGACAATGATTGCGGCTACGTTCTGCCAGACTCCATCATGACGATTCCTTCAATGGTATGGATGCCTAAGAACTCTCCGTTCAAAAGATCAATATCGCTGTGGCTTCCCCGTCTTCTTGAGAGCGGTTTACTAAACAAATACGATGTTAATATACCCATTATTACTACTTTAAAAATATCTGAACCAAGTCCTCTAACGAGTACTCAAATCAGCAGTTGTTTGCTTTGTCTTGTAGTTGGTTATTTTGTATCATTTTTAGTGCTTCTTCTAGAGATAATAAAATATAAAATACTAAAAACCAAAACGTTTAAGAAATTTAAGCAACGAACGATAATTCGTAACATCTAAGTTTTAATTATCGTGAAATTGAATTTTCACAAACCTATAAATTAATGAAAATATTTCAGAGAGAAACAAAATTCATGGGATCTATAAAAGTTTAATATTTCGTGATTTTATGTTGTTTTAATACAATTGATTTGTATAGTTAAATTGATAATAAAATTAGAAGTTTTTAAATTGTACAGAATAATTATTGAATCTTTATGAATGACGCAGATTAAAAAGTAAACATTTTTCAGTCAAAAAGTAAACCTTTTTCTAGTTAAAACTATTGAATTGTGCTTTTTACGTCATTAGGCATTAGACATGCATGATATTTCACAGCTATTATTGTTTTTATTGTTGTTTGAGCTAGAACATGCTCTTTGTGTGAATATATTAATATATTTTGAACAAAATAAAACTCACAGTTTAATAATGTACATGGTTTATTTATTTAAATACATTGATTTGTTTTTATAATCGTCATATCTAATTGACTTAAAGTTACACTACTTAATGATAAAAACATTGTGCATTTTTGTGAAGCGTTAAAATTCTTTTATACTTAATTAAAATTTATCCATATCTTAAATATGAATTTAAAGAAGTCAATTAAAGATATCAATACGAAAAGCATTTTTAAAATTTCGATAAATATTAATAAAAATATACCGTTATTTTGCACACTTTTAACACATTTAATTATAATTATATATAAACTTATCAATATGACTAGAGATATATTTTGTACAATGATATATTGATTTATTTCTACATCCATAGTATTTGTATAAATGAATATGTTATAAAAATACGATCTCAAATTTTTAAAACTAATACAAGCACAAAATTTTAACATCTAGCACTAACATATTAAATAAAAAAAATTATTGGCTACTTACATATTTTTAAAATTTTATTTGGATAGTTTTGAATACATTCCATTTCGAAATTTCTGATGAAGAATAAAATAAATTAAATAAGCAAGATTTATAAGTCTTTTTGGATATAGGTGGTGTCTAAATTAATGATCGAATTAACCATAAAATATATATATTGTTACAATAAAAACAATTGTATGTTCATAAGAGAGATGAAAAAACAAATATATTTACAATAATTTTTAAGCAATAAAGTTTAATTTATATTTAACGATACGAGCCCGTATTCGAGAGGGAGTCGCAAAATAAAAAACATCCCTGAAAGTATATTTAAGAGCAAGAATATTAAAAAGTCTATATATTTACCAGAATAAAATTTTATAGTTGTGAACTAAAAGAGCATCAAAAGAGTATATGTTTTAACCACTGTTAAGTTGAAGCCATTCGAAATACTTGACTATTAATATAATAAAACATATACTATTCTTAGTTTGTTCAAGTCATATAAAAATCACTTAAGATTTCTGAATTTCCAAGCTTCAAACATAAAATGAAGGAGATATTAAACTTATTGTGTTATTAATTTTGCAGCCCATACTTTCTGCGTTAGTAATTTAAAAAATACCTAACAATAAAAAATACCTAACAATAAATGCTAAGCAGGTATAGAAAGGTACACCTTTTTAATATTATGACTAGATAAACTTGATATTGTTATACTAGACGATTATATTTAAGCAGCCAGGGTTGGTGGATCTACAACCAAGTATGGAGCATGCATCAGAGGCGGCAGTGCTGGGAACAGTATGGGGTATTGAGGTAGTTGAGGATCAGGAGTCACCACGCGCGCTTCTTGCTCAGAACAATGCAACAGCCAATGAGTCAGCATCCGACCTCGACCCTTCAACTCGACCTCCCCGCGACGCTCCACTATAAATGTACCCCACTGTTCCAACAGCAACCTGGTGTTCTCACTCAGATGGATACGCAGAGCTGAAGAAGTCATGGTTCTATTATAACTAACCAGATTATGATATAATAATTTTATATGAAAAGAGACCATGTATAGATGAGTACACACTGAAGTAGACTCATATTATACGATAAAGTATGTTTTCATTTCCATCTAAGCATAATTAAATATCATTAAAAATAGTTAAAGACTCACGCTGTCCCGTGGACTCCATACGACTGGCTGTGTTAACTGTGTCTCCGAACAGACAGTAGTGTGGCATCTTGACGCCAACCACACCAGCGCAGACTGGACCTGAGTGTACGCCAACACGCACCTGAAGAAAGGTCGATAATTAGCATCAAAGAGTTACAACATTAAGTTTACTAGAGGATGAAGTGATGTACCTCCAATCTATGACCACCTGGTCGGTGACGAACTACGAATGTCCTCACAGCCTGCACGATAGCGAGGGCCATGAGGCAGATCTCTCTCGCGTGAAGATCTCCGTTACGTTCAGGTAAACCTGACACTACCATGTACGCGTCGCCTATTGTTTCCACCTTACACATATAGAAGAAAAGAATTATCAATCCAGTGTAAAAGAAACAGACATTAGAGACCCGGCGATTATGGATAATATAATAATTTACCCAGAAAGCAAAGTCACAACAGTTTTAGCAGTATACATATACATAAAGTAAGGTATCGTCTACTTAATGTCACGATCAATTATTAGACGTGTCACGTGGCACGGTCTATTAAAAAAGTAGTGACTGTTGGTATTAATTATAATGCAAATGGATAGTCAAGGTATTATTGGTCAGAAAGGTTAGGTAGAAGAGTTATTTAATTAATATATTAATTAGATGTTCATGTACCTTATAGACATCATAGAAGCCGATGATTCTATCGAAGGTGCTGTACAGGTCATTGAGTAGGTCCACCACCTGCATGGGAGTAGAGGCTGCGCAGAGTTCAGTGAACCCAACTATATCACTGAAGTACACGGTCACACTCTCAAAGCTCTCTGGTTGGACCACCTCACCAGCCATTAATTGCTGAGCCACAGGCCTATGAAGTAAGAAATATGGCTCATGAATTTATTGCATTTGTGAATAACTAATTTATTTGTTACTTTTTGTTATTTGTGGACATATTTGTTACTTGTTTCTGTAACTTTTCATTTGACTACAAACGGTATTGTCCTTTGGTGTTACCTTGAAAAAGATTACCGCAGAGTAATTGAAACTTTAGGTTGAATGATTAAGTGTCAAAAATATACACGATTTTAATTCGAATATGCAAGTATTATTTTTCTACTCACGAGCAGTTACGAATCATAATATCTTTTTAACCTTCCCTACCTTGGCAAAACTTGATAGAGCAACTCCTCTGAACGTTTCTTCTCCAATGACAACTGTTCTGTCTTCTCCTCTACTAGAGATTCGAGATTGTTCGCGTATTGTTCCATACGTCTTAAGAGATCGTCCATTAAATTGTCGCAGTATCCTCTACATATAAAAAAAACATTCAAATATTGTGGCACATTATTTTTGGTCACTGGAATTCTTACATGAAATATAAATTAACGAAAACAACTATTGGTCTAGTTTAGTGAAACAAACAAAAATTATAAATTCGAAATGCATATAACACATCCATTACCAAAAACACAAATTAAATTGTTATATACTCGTACATAGGAATGAAAAATGAATATTTTACAGCTATGCGTATATCTCACTTGATATAATTAGCGTTGATAGTATCAAAACTTGGTCTGTCGTCTGGAGAGTCAGCCCAGCAGCGTTCAGCCAGCTCCAACAGCTCGGGACCAGCACCGGCACCTCCCGGCATCACCACCGGACGAAAGGGAGGCGACTCACGACCACACACACGAGACACTATCTCTGTTACCATACACATAATATTGATACACATATACAAGCACAAATATAGAAAATACTTGATAAATAAAGACAATGTTATTATAGAATAATTTCAATTAACACAAATTTTAGATCCAAGATTATATGCAACAATAAACATAAACACTTCACAGCAATTAGATGGATAACGTAAATGTATCTATAGTCATGGCAAATTGATAAATATTTCGTAACAATAGTATGTATTATTTTCATAAAAATATTGGTAAGACGTCACTTAAATGTGTACCCTTATTAGACATAGTTGCGGTGTAGTGATGGAAAGGCCCAGATCGTAGAACAATCTCTTCTAGAATAATGCCGAAACTATACACGTCGCCTTTGAGGGACGCAACTACTCCAGGATACACACTGCCGGCTACCAGCTCCGGTGCTGTCCATAGAAGTTCTAAAAAGGTTTGAAAAATATAAGCTCTACTATATAACACACATCATCATCAGCTAAAAGACGTCCACTGCAGGACATAGGCCTCCCCCAAGGATCTCCACGACAACCGGTCTTGTGCAACCCGCATAAACAATATAACACACATATTAAGTAGAAAATTGCTTATATTCTTGCTAGTGTTAAAATCTAAGCAATTATAAGCAATGCAATTCACTTGCATTCACTGATACCAAAATATTTTCATAAGGCTTCCAAATATACTGGAATATTTATTTTGAAATATATTGAAAAAATAAACAGAAATCAAGAGCGACAAATTTATTCAGAAAAATGTTCGAGTTTTCCGAAGGTTACTCGTTAACGTAGAATTGTAACGACAACAATTCCACTTTATAAAGTTATAACTTGCAAACATTTTTTTATGTCCAAGTTAAACTCTTTTAATCCCTTCAGAGAAATAATAAAATATTGTAAAGGAAGAGAACTACAAGTAAAAATGTAAAGCGATAAATCTTAAAGTCAGTTTTATAGCTTAAGCGATTTTATAAACTTATCTCTAGAATATTTTTTTAGATAATTACTGTAATAGTAGGCGTCGTCTTTAATCAAGTCCGTCGGCGTGCAAAGAGTGTTGAGGCCGTAGTCTGATATTTTGAGAACGAAACGTCCATCGATGAGGCAGTTTGAAGATCTCAATTTTCCGTGAGCACCCAGCCCGCTATGTAAGTAGCACATTCCCTAAATAAGAAAAAAACTCACAGTTTCGTCCCAATTTAAATAATTAAATTAAAAATCAACGTCTGCTTTCTCAGTGTTTTTTGTCAAAAACATTAATGCAAAGTGATTATTTTGCCTTCGACCAATGAAACAATAATAACTGTCAGCTGTCGTTAAAATCAAAAATTCAGTTCCATCCTTCTCTTCACAGTTGAAACTGTTCAAGAACTCGGACGTTAAACTTTCTTGATTTATGTGAGAAACATCACTAAACAATTCAGTTGTATTAATTTTATCACAATATAGTATGTAGATATTTGTTCTCTTTAAAAGCTAATCTGAGAACCGTAAATAGATGTATTTAAAACCACGTGATGGTTTAACGCAAGATATTGTAAATTAAATTACAGATCTACTATTAAACATAGGTATGTATGTATATACAATATATGTAATCGTAATATTGGATTCAATTAGTATTTACTTGTGACAAAGCTTTGCGATATATAGGGCTTAGGATGGAAATCTTAATGAGATCTTAATATTACCTAATTAAAATTTATTTTAAAAGTTAAAGTTCATTATAAATGACTACGTTAAACCTTTGTAGACTGAGTAATTAAATAAATAAATGGCATAATGATTATGCGGCTACCGATATCCTTTTCAGAAAAGCCTCTAGGCTCTGACCTATTTGGAATAACGCAAAAACAAAGGTAAAAAGGTTTTATAGGTGGTGGAGCCTAGCTGTAGTCAGTTACTACAGCTCGAACATGGGCTGGCTCGACCGGGGAAGTACCACCCTCTCACAGAAGATTGGCGTGAAGTAGCCTTTAGTGGTTGCGTTTAGTCCGATGAGTGAGAGAGCCGGTTGCCCTTTCCCTATTCCCACCCTTTTCTACCATTTCCTTATTCTCACCTCTCCCTATCCCTAAAAAAACAAGGTTGGCAACGCATCCGCAACGATGTTGCGGATGTCCATGGGCGACGGTAACCACCTTCCATCAAGTGGGCCGTCTGCTCGTTTGCCACCTTTCACATTAAAAAAAAATCATTTTTCACTCTTCAATTATATTGTTCTTAAAATCAAATGCTTATAATAGTTTACAATTAACAAATGATAATTTAGTTTCAATCTATTTGTTAGGACAAAGTTTATATGCTCTCTATCTTTGCACAATTCAAACTACGTTTAACATTTTAATTGGCAATCGCGTTCAGTTATGACGAATAGGAAAGCTATTTCCGAATGGAATATTTATTCACAATTATCCAGATACACGATTATTGATCTTCTTTTATAAAAGACAAAGCTAAAATAAAAAACAACTTAAATAGATTTAGGTAAGTATTAAAATATAGTTTTCAAAGTATAATGATGTTAAAAAAAACAGTAATCTTATTTTACGCTGTCAATACAATGACATGAAATAAAATATAATCTAAGTGAGCTAGTGAACTTAGGACTTAAAATGATTCAAGAAGCTTAACCAAATGCTCGTTTAGTGTGATAAGGCACAACAGTTTACTTCAATTCTGTGGCGTTTAGCTGACAGAGTTAGTATACAATAAACACTAATACACATACAGCTTAACACTACATACTTGGCTAGAATTTAGTATCTGAAATAAAATTTAAAACTATCTCATATTTAGTAAATTACATTATAGCTGTTTTTTTTTAATTGTTGTTTATTATCTTCTAAATTTTTAATGAATGGTTACTAAAAGGAAATGACGTTTTCATGACGTCATGATTTCTTCATTATTTAGAGCCAATGTAAAGAAATATGATACAAAACATAGTAGTTTCATGATTTAAACTTATATCTAGAACTTTTGGAATATAATCGAGCTCAATATAAGTTCAACATTTCAAATATAAGTTTAACATTTCAAATACCTGAACAATATCATGCACCAGCGATGTTCTAAAGTTCCAGTCGAGCTGCAACTCCTCATTGGCGAGGACGTCCTTCAAGGATCCTTTAGGACAATACTCCGTAAGTATGAACACTAATGGACAGTCCACGCACGCTCCTATGAAACGCGCTGTGTTCTCGTGAGATACATTACGAGCCTAAAATAAATAAATACCTAATAAGTCGTTTGATTATCAATTTATCGATGAATAACGAAAATTATAAGGAGACTGGAGGGTAGTTATGTTATGGTTGATAAACAGGAAATCCTTAACATATTCGTACGTATTACTGAGAAGCGTGTTAAGATTACTATTTAATTACATACAGTCGAAATCAAAGATGATACGTATATATAGATTAAGAAAAATAAATTTTATATTAACAGATAAGTAGGTAAATATAAATATAGAAGATGAAACAACGCGGTAATTACATTACTCTCAATATGGAAGATTTAAAAGTCATCACTGTATACAAATTTATCCAACACTTCGTATTTTTCTATTACCTATAAGAACCTATTTATCTACAATACATCTTAATCTATCAAAAATATTACTACTTATTATTATAATTATTAATATTTTCGAATTTATTATGCGTTTTTATTAAATGATGAAAATCTTTTCATCTCGTCTGATTGTAATCATGATTGCTGTCAAAGGAATCTGAACGAAAACAATACTACACTTTTAGTACATCCGAAAACACAAGTTTTTGTCTTTACACCGAACTTACTTGTTTTATCTCCCACAACAGTTTCTTGTTCAGATCAAGTTTCTTTCTATGTATTTTCTTAACAGCGACCCTATTCCCTTTATAAAGTCCGACTGTAAACGACGACAGTGTAAGTTGTGGGGCAACGTTCGAAGAGCTTGAGTTACTGCGACCACTCCACGCCAATGACAGCTACGAAAAATTTTAATACTCTCAGAATTGAAAAGAGACTGAATGATACAAACTTTATACAACTCATTCATAATTTTATTAAGTAAAAATCTCGCTTGAGAATGTTTAATAAAAGGATTTATATGTTCAATAAAAAATATTGTCAGATTTAATAAAGTTAATATGATATTGCAGATTATAACATATTGTTTGTTTCCCATAACTTAAGCGTGGAAGCTTATGAGAAAACTAAATCAAATAATATATTTATATATAACTTCCAGTCTATTCCTTATTTCAGTAAATGTTCTTATAAATATCTGATCAATTGATTTGTAACCATAAAAATAATTATATCTAATCTTATAAGAATTGAAATATTTATTATATAACAATAATAAGAGAAAGATGTTTCAAATAAACCGATCGTTTATGTTAACCAGGCTATTGAAATGGTTACCTTTATATTGTTCTGATGAAGACACTTGATTGTAATTAAATTGAATGCAAATGGAACAAACAATAAAAATGTCGTGCTCACGGCGTATACAGATCAATTACGGTAATTGATATAAAAATATAAAGAAATTAAATAAAACAGTATTACAGGAATATCCTTAGCTTAGATTCGATAAAATTGAATATCTGTATTGTAATGTTTGTAATTTTAATGACATTTTTCTTAATAGGTTAACTAAAACAAATTCATATCGATCTGAATTAAAAAAATATAACTACCAATCTGAAGGAGTGTATGTTATTTGGTTCTTATTTTGGTATCCGTCATATTCATAATTCTATTATAAGCGGACTAGATCCTGTTTCTATTTTCAATTTATAAAATCAATTATAGCTTATATCAACCAACATTTCGAATATATTATTTAAGTTAGTTAGTTATATAGTTATTAGTTAGTTATATGAAGCAGTTGACCTATAGTATATATATAGTATTGTATAACATCCACATACCTTTAATACTTCATTGATGCTGTGTAACGCTGGACCACCTACAAGTCCTGCTCTCACCTCCACAAGAACCTCCTCTGGTCTGACGCGCCAATCAGTGTTATTCAATTCGGCTTCAATACGCACTCGCCTAACAATAAAATAATGAAATAAAACAAAAAATGACAGATGAAAGCTATAATTTTATATCACTAGCTTATACATAAAAAATTTGAACCTACCTACGCAATATAAAAAATAGTAAAAACATTGCAAAATATTGAATTAAATAACTCTTTTCTCTTTGGTTTATTTTCTGATATAATGTTTTTAAAGTTTTTGACTCTTGTCTTTATAATTTTACCGTTATAAGCCGATAATATATGAAGACCTTTGGCGAATCTTCTAATCATCATTTTCATAAGAAAGCCCGATCCGAAACCTTTCAGACTCTTTGCGATTATTTCCATATAATTCGGAATTCTTGAATTCGACAAGTCTTCTAATATGACGTCACATACTTTTATGATAAAATTAAAAAGAGGTAAAGTAATTTTTGAATTTATTGGCCCTAAAATATGAGATTCATCTATTTCTTGACCACTAACATCCGAGTGATCTTTTTTTACATCTACATTCTCCTTATAAACTTCTTTTGAACTTAAAACAGTCGAAAATAAGCAGTTATATAAAAAATAGACAGAAATATTTTCATGATTCTTCCACTTGCGGCTTAGTAAAAATATCTTTTATAAGTCCAATAACTAAATAACATTCTCACACATTTCTTTATCTGAAACAAATATCATAAAAAATCAGGTTACCCAAATAAAAAGATCTCATATACGCTTCACGAGAAGTTATAATTATGTAAATATTTATTTTGTTAATTATAATCACCTTCCAAACGATAGCAGTCAATAAAGCAGCTAAAAGATACTGCTCCGATGCTATTAAAATGCAACCGAATACCATAGCGTCGAATGTTGTCAGACTCCATTCTTCACCCATCCTAACATTAATACAAAAATTGTCATTACATATTTATTTGAATTACTACGAGCTTGTAGCAGAAAAAAAAATTAGAATTACCATGTAGTAGATAATAGTGAAGGTATTGAGACGTTATTATCGTAAAGCAAAACACTAGTGTTCCCGCCTTCACGCTCTGTGAGTTCAATGTCCAACAAACGTTCTAAAACCGTCCTCTCACTGGCAACCCAGCTGAGACCATCTAACGCCTATAACACAACTTATAAATAAAAAAATAGGTTCACTTCATTTAAATTGTTATAAGAAAAGGGTCACCCTTTCAAAAAATGCTCCAAGAAATTGAGATAAAAGAGTGTGATTGGTGAAGCCGTCTGTATAGTCACCTGAAAATTTATTTTTTATATAAAAAAATGTATATATTATATGAAGTAGTTTCAAGGTACTTGTATCAATTATTATAATAGTACTTACTAGAGTCTTTAAGTTTAACGAAAGTGTTTCTGAAAAAAAGATAAATGTTTAAGAATTTGTATATATTTTTAGTATTTTTTTCATACAATTACGTTTTAATATTTACCTCAAATGTGGTGAACAAATAAGACGACAATGTGGCAGCGTTTGTGACATCGACCTTATATCCAAATCATCATTACTGAAACAAAATTTTAAATTATTAAAAGTATAATTATTAATACCAAATATTTAAGTGACTTCTTGTAAAATTCCCTTTATTAGGAAGAAAAACTCACCGGCCATTCACATAATGTGCATAGTATTCATATTGGAACACTAGCAGTGATATTTCTAAATTTATGCACAGTTTGCTCAACTTAGTTGTGTTCGGCGTAAAAAACTTTTCCTTTAAAATGAATACCAATGAGACACAGCAGTAGGAGATCCACCACACCAGTGTCGCCATCACCCATTTATAACCTTGACTGTTTGATGGGTAGGATTCATATTGGTTCAGGAACTAGAAATTATAATATAATATGTATTAATGACATACACAATATACGTAATACGGCGTCATTTTTTACGGTTTGGTCAATCTAAATTTTTTTTAAAAACCAATGATATACTTGGGAGAGTAGGCGTTTAGATTTAAAATTAGGCATCATCGAAAGCATGCCTAATCATATATGTACATATATATACCATTTCAAAATCATAAATGTTTCTAGATGAAAACTTTTAAACAAAACACTAATTAATTATAATATATAATTATAAATATAATTTATTGTAAAAATAAGTAGCCACAAACAAACAACAACTTTTTTTAAATAATCTTTAGAAATAAACTTAAAACGAATTTCAGGTAGATATGTGTTTCTAATATGTTCTGATACATCATAAACATTACAAAACTACTCACATATAAAGCAAGTACAGTAACAGTGATCGTATAACTGGGAGGTACTCGACGTTTCGTCTGCACACTCATCAGTTCGGAAACCAACAAGTCTATTTTCCAATAATTCTCTTTAATAGATGGCGCTAATTACAGAAACGTCAAATGTTATATGTTAAAAAGTAATGAAAGAATAATTTACTTCTACAAAATAACATTGTTTTAATTGTCAAGAATTATATATACAACCTTTTTTTTAAATTTTTAAAACAAGTTTTGGTATTAAGAACATATTTACCTTGAACTAATGGATTGTATTGCGACCAATCTATGAATATAACTTCGCAACGACATTGATTCCAATTTATCCACAAAACTTTAAGAAACTGTAATAAAAATGTTAATGAAACAGTGCACAGGTATATTTATTTAATCATCATTACTATACATTACCTTCGATACATATTAACAGTTACAGTAAAATGTATCTTTAATGAACTATTTTATATCCCAACGTATTAAGAATTCACAGAGTTAAGAAATAAATAAGTATCATATAAATGAATCAATATTTTCTTACGTTTCCAAAAGTTAAAACGACGTGTAAAAATATTCTTAGCAAGTATTTGTATCGTCAGAATACTCACTGACAGTAGGTATACCTACAGTTTTGGATCCTTTAATTTTCGTATAAACATTACAATTTCACTGGATACAAACTAGGCATATGAAGGAAAAACTCAACTTTGTGTTTAGTTTGACGATGCTTAGTCATAGTAAAGATGTGGACGGCAATATATATTTAATCGTCGGTATTTTTTCTATAGATATAAAACCTATTTATAATCACCTTCATAGTAAGAACAGTATATATCATTGATCTAATCAGATGCTCTTCATCTTCCGACAGCGGGAGAGTTACACTGAGAGTCCCAGCCTCCGAGCAGAAAGAGTGAAGAGATGAAATAAACGTTGCCTGAATGATAATAAAAAAAACAACATATTTTATGTTACTGAACAGTTGTTCTAGAAGTTTCTATGACATACGATCTGTTTTTAAACTCTAATTCATTTATCCTCTCTACAACTCTAATTCGGTTATTCATATTTATTGAATCAATTAAACTGACTTCAATTAAATCAATTAAAATTAAACTAAAGCGATATCCAGGAACCTTCGGTTAGCAAACAGCTTGCGTAGATAAAGATTTTTCATAGAAAACATTTAATTTGAGTCATGTTCAGAGCAATTAATTGGACACAAAACTTGACACGTCTACGTTCAAATCCAATGGTGAATAACATTTATTTGAGAAATTAGATCATAATACTCACAATATAAAGTGCATCGGCAACATAACCACAAAATAAAGGCACTATTATGAAGTGTCTAGCACCACGACGCGTGGCCCCTCGCCATTGAAGTAAACTATAAACCACAAAGATCGATGACAACACAGCTCCTGATATCTACGGATTTAAAACACATATCAATAATTCGCCTTAAACAAGGGTTTTGAACAGAGATTCTCGACTTGTTACTTGTACTTTTAAACTATTCCTCATACTTCCAAGTTAGTCGTGACCCCCGCGTCAGGTTTTTGATGTTCAACTATGATCGATGTTGTGATAGTATCGTATGATGGATGTTTTAAAGCATACTGAACCTCCACAAGTAACTGAACTTTTAAAGCACCTTCACTATAAACATCGCGATCTATTCTGGAAATACAAATTTAAAGCTATGCTTTTGTTTCACAAGAACATTCATATCGTGAATTTTCTATAGTGATCAATATAATGTCGTATTGATATGGATTTTAGGGCTTATTTTTTGCTAGAAGTTTTCTATACTTATAAATTTTTTTCTTTATTTAATAGTATGTTCAATGATTTCAATCCATTTTCCTTGAGAACACATAAACTTAATAGAATCAAGGTGGTAGAGCCTAGCTGTGGTGAGTTACTACAGCTCGAACATGGGCTGGCTCGACCGGGGAAGTACCACCCTCTCACAGAAGATCGGCGTGAAGTAGCCTTTACTGGCTGCGTTTCGTCTGATGAGTGAGAGAGCCGGTTGCCCTTTCCCTATTCCTACCCTTTCCTTTCATTTCCTTATTCCCACCCCTCCCTATCCCCAAAAAACAAGGTTGGTAACGCATCCACAACAAAATGTTGCGGATGTCCATGGGCGACGGTAACCACCTTCCATCAAGTGGGCCGTCTGCTCGTTTGCCACCTTTCACAAAAAAAAAAAAAAAAAAAAAAAAAAAAAAAAGAATCTAAATAGGACGAGTACCTTCTACATATAAATATATATTATAATATGTTAATTGGTGTAAAATAGTTATAAAAAATATTGTTTTTAACAAAAGAACCTTGCACTTCACGACAATGAATACAAATGACTCGAGGAATTTTAACTTCATTACTAATAAGAAAAACAGTCAGTAAATAAAATATATATGGCTTGAATTTCATACACATTTTTGATCACTAATGTGTAGGTACTTCCTTACCTCATACTCAAAAGTATATTTCTTAAGTATACCACGCTCGTTGTATTTGTAGTAGTAGAAAGATATTTGTTTATTAAAAAGAACTTTCTAAACTTATTGGAAGACCAGGACCCTCTCTAGAAACAGGAATACAAAGAATTATTTAAATATGTCATTGAATCGAAGATGACGTCATTTAATTGATTAAATTTATCAAATTAATTCATCATATTATAATGTTGACATTGTAGTCCTCAAGCTAGAGACATTTACCTCATGCTTTATGTGAGTGATAAGACGGGAAGGCCGCGACTGATTTTCTAAGTTTTTAAGGACAAATAGATCTAAGGAAAGGCAAGTCAAAATTCGTCTTACTAACATGATGGAAAAAAACCGTTTATATACAGAGGTATAGGCATACTATTAATAATAGCAATAAAAATACATTTTTTTCTTGTTTTAGACAAAAACTTTGTAGGCAGGTTGATGCATAAAATTTAAAAAAGTATTTGATATTTGAAAATAAAAGTACGCAGGCAGTTTACATTTTGTAGTCACATCTCTGAATTTAAATACTTTTATTGATTTTATTTATAAGGTTATTACTTTTATTGTCCCTTTTACCTTAAAACAAAAAATAAAGTATATTTTTATTTGTCGTAGTATTGTCGGAGCAATCCAAGGATATTTAATATCTTGAGTGTTAGGGATAAACTGTCCCGAACTCTTGTACTATGATGATACTATGATATATATATATAGAAGTAATTATTAAGTAATTATTTATCGATAGTAATTCACCAGTGACTGGTGAATTACTATCGATACTTGAGGACGTGATATTTGACGATCGTATATGACAAAATAAAAATTAATATAACATAATATTAATAAACTTCTAAGTAAAGTTAACCAAAAGTTATGTAATTAATTACGCATCGTGTGAACACCCTACAGATTAGGTATACACACACACACACACACACACACACGCGTGTGGCGGCGTGGTGTTGTATCAGCACGCCGCCGCACGCGTCCACACTTGGAACACTTGGAACGTGTCCACACTTTATTTATTTATACGGAAATTTGGTCAAAAATTAAGTGCCTATTTTTTTTACATAATTCGAATGAGAATCATGTAACGAGTATTCTCCTTAAATATATGTATATATGTATATGCATCTACGTCCGACCGCTCACATAGTTCAAGAGGTGTCTAGCATTGTACGTATAATTTATATTACTATTATATTTTGACTATAACAAAATACATACATCGACGTAATAACCGCTAGGCTTCCGTATGACTAGTGGAAGAGATTTAAGTGTTTCTTTATATTGGACGTATATCTCGAAAATATCACCGTAGTCCGTGGAAAACACTTCTGATACATTTCTTACACATTCACGTCTAAAACATAAACAAAAAAAAACATAACTTTTGTTATACTATTAACATATAAATAATATATAATATTTTGTAAAGAACTAAACCCATCTCCGATTGTAAAATGAATAAATAGTAAATACTCTGTAAAGACAATTAGGCCATTTTTTTATGGACCTAATAGTAATATTTTTTTAAACATGAACACCCTAAAGCATAAACACACATATGAAATCTTCCCTCATATATTTTTCAATATGGTAGGCTATCACAAACATCTCTATCAAAATATAATAAAGAAATCAGATTTTTAAGAGTACCATTTTATCCTATATACTCAACATGTCAAAAATATATAAACTTACCTAAAATTCACGCCAATTTTAATTTTCATAGAGGGTAAACATTTTTGAAAGAGTTTATCAGTATTCTGAAAAATTTTAAATCCTCCACTGGCAGTATGTGTTGCCAGAATTAAATCTATAGAATTCTAGAAATATTTTACATTACATATTAATAAAATGTTGTTTATAATTTCAAAAATAAAAATGTTACACGTGAATAACAATCTCACCATGGAAAGCGACAAAGATAAATCTGCCTTATTGCTTTTGAAGTCATCAGTAGTAAGTAATGGCAAACCTGTAAATAAGAATTTAAAAGTTCATGCATAGCCAATGATAATTTGTAACGATAAGGCTCAAAAGGACTCGTATCGTAAAAACATAAAAAAAAAAGAATTTAAAATTTTAAAGTAACTTAAATGACGTAAGAAGAACTTCTATTAAGTTTCATAATATTCGTAGTTTTAGCGAAAAGTTTTTAAAATCTTTATGTAAATTCTAGTTTACCTTTAAAACTGGTCAAATTACTTTGTATCCAGAGTCTACAGGGACCGGCTGGGTGGTAAGTGTAATGATTACGGACACAGACGCTCGCTAAACTACGACATGCGCGGTTGTCTTGTTTCTAAAATAATTAAATACTTATCCTTTATAAAAGATTTAAACAAATACAAGTATATTAACAGAGACAACTAATGAATATAGTATGTATATATGTGTGTGTGTGTGTGTGTGTGTGTGTATGTGTGTGTGTATGTGTGTGTGAGTGTGCGTGTGTGTGTAATTCCATAACAAATAGAAGATACTTCCCATTAATTTTTTTTCTCTTTTTCGTTTCTTATATTAAGTTGTTAGTAGTTTATGAAACGTTTCAATACTCACAGTACATAAATATTCCAATTTTATAAATTCTAAAACTTCGTCTGGATGTAATATGTTCTCCGAGTACTTAGGTCTGTCTAGAACATATTTCCTTGGAATACAATTTCCTTTAACTACTATTTCATGTTTCCTACAAGCGCACGCTTCACACCAAACGCATCTATTGTTCAGAGCTTTATAACCGCGGGCACATTTAACACATTGAACCTCCTTCATCGGAGATCCGTCAAAATTTTGAGTCACTGAAAATTAAAAAAAACACACGTTCAAAGAATCAAACTATGTATATGTAATCTATTAAAAAGATAATAATTTACGAAACCGAATAAGTATATATATCAATGCAAAAATTATATTATTTTATAAGTATAAAAGTATTAATGAAGACCTCTTTACCCGATATATAATCATTAGGACATTTCCTACAAACAATACGGCCGGCGGAACTCTGGCATCTACGTGAAACACAAGAATTCCCATCGCTTGAGACAATTTCTGTAATATTACATGGTCTGCATTTTGATATGCCGCTCGGAACGCTATGCTCGGAACATGAACATCCAAAACCTGAAAACAATAACATTCACTTAAAAAATATAAACATATCATTCTTTTATTCATTCGTTCATTCATTCATTCAAAGCAGTTATTCTATATTTAAAAATTGTGTCAAAACCACTTATTTCAGCCAGTAAGTGATGGCGTTATGCAATAAAATGATAAATCTCACCATCAGCTGACGTGACCAGAGATGCATTAGCGGGACAAGGCAGGCAATCCATCAAGCTCGGTTCATAAAAGTGTCCAACACCACAATTACCAGGCACTTTGAAACCGTGTACGCCATTTAATATGATCAAAACAAAAAACATTTTATTTAGCCAGCAACAGATTGCGGATGATAACGTTTACTTAAGATACGTACATTTCCTTTTTACTTTAAGATACAATGAGGAAGTATTGCTCGTCTCCACAATAAAGCAGTTGTATTATGCGAGATTTACTAGATATACCCGGGGACAAAAGTAATAGGTGTTTATAACATGCTCTGCGGTAGGCCCTCGTTTGTTTACGTAATCCTACCCACCGTTGCCTAGATACGAATAGGGGAAGTCGCTAAAGTATAAACATTTTATTTTATAAAAATAATAATAAAAAAAAACAACAATTGTCTTAAAAAAAACAATAATTACGAAAATTTATGATTCTTTAAATATTTCCGAATTTAAATTTACTTATAAGTTTTTTTAACTTTATTATTGAACTAGCTTTTGCCCGCGACTACGTCCGCGTGGAATAGTGACTTCCGGAAGATTTTTGGTTCTTCCCACATAGTTCCCGTTCTTGCGGCATTTTCGGAATGGTCGAGTTCCCGCAGAATTTTCAGGATAAAACCTATGTTTTTTTTTTCGAGTTCGAAACTATATCTGTATAATTTTTAAAGTAAATTTAATTATTTTAAAGAACTTCTGCATATGTATACTAAATTTTTTGTTTTATTATCTTGTGGCAGAAGAACATATTGATTTTCGCCACAACCCGATCTTGAGAACGATCAGCACTCGATTCCCGTTGCCGGTTCGCCAAAGTTCGGAAATTTTGTGAGGCTAAACGCTGCGAACGTTCTCTCCCGCCGCGCCGGCCCGTGACAGAGAGCGAGTTGGTTTTGTTTCGGAGTTATTTATGATTATAATCTTTAAAGTTTTTTGTTGAAATTAAGTTATGTCCAAGACAATTTTATTCACAATGAAGTACTCTTAACTAACAACATATTTATTTGTTTATTTGAATAAAGATTAAAAATTATTATGTTGATACAACTTAAACAAATAATTTCGACCAAATTAGGTACCTAAAAACGGTTTTTGTGAGTTAATCTTAAAAGATAGACATATACTGTCGCGGACTGTTTTATAGATCATTAAAAGAGCTATTATTCTTTACACCATATTTTTTGTGTATCTTTGACAGTTTTCACGGCGCACGCAAAAGAAGGCTTCAAAGATGAAATAATTGGTTGTAGCGCGATGTTATATAGCCTACAACCTTCCTCGATAACTGGACTATCCAACACAAAAAGAATTATTCAATTCGAACCAGTAATTTCGGAGATTAGCGCTTTCAAACAAACAAACTAACAAAGAAACTCTTCAGCTTTATAATATTAGTATAGATTGTACGCGTAAACTTTAGTTACTAAGAAATATTCCCACAGAAAATTACGGTAAATAAAATGTTTGTTTCCAAATTGCATATACATATATTTATATTAATTTTATAAAGGAATGGACGCGCTGCATAAAATAAATGTAATTTTCAATAGATTTTAATCCGTAACAACAGACGACCTTTTTATACTAGTATCTTTATTCATAAGTTACATCTTGTTATATTAATGATTATACATCCTTTCGCAACACGTGTTATTGCGTTTTACCTTTGGTTCATTATTTGGTCTCTTTTGTAATATACTTATTCCCCTTTATTATATACTCTTTAGCTTTATAAACATCGTATCGTCGTATATAGTCAGCCTATCAGAAGCCCACTGCTGAGCAAAGGCCTCTTTCTCAAATGGAGAAGGTTTGAGCATTAATCACCACGCTTGCTCAAGACGGGTTGGTGATTTCAAACTTATAATCGTGAAACTATAAATCCAGGTTTCCTCACGATGTTTTCCTTCACCGTATGTCAGTGATGTCTACATACTCTCAGAAAGTACATATGACTCAGAAAAATCACATTGGTACTTGCCAAGGTTTGAACCCGCGCCCTCGGCAACGAGAGTCGAGCCCCTTAACCACTAGGCCACCACTCACTAGCTTAAACAAGTAATTAAAATTATTTATTCTTAATAGCTGTTAATGCCACCATTATCTCAAAATTATTAGAAATATAAAATCAAAAAATCACTTCTTTAGACATTGGCAACCTGATATGCAGTGTAAATAAGTGGAACTTAACCCCATTTTTTAAAGTTGGTTAAAATACTGACATACCAAACCAAAACACCCTCGTTTATTTTGCATTCGCAACCATCAAAAATAAAAGCTTTTCAATAAATCTATCGTAACTTACTTTTAAAATGCATGATTTATAGCTCACACAAATAGACAAGTCTTTTATATCGAAATGATTTCACCACGGACATTTATTTTGTTCTCATGATACAGACCTCAGGATAAGATGTATTGGATTAAATTTATTTTAACAGTTACATATTTTATTCAAATAAACGCAAAATTAACGGTGCAAAATTATGACAAAGAAAAATATGAAGATTACATGAAGATTGCTAGTGAAATAGCGAATCACAATTTCAACTATAGAATACAAACAGTGGTTGTATGGAACGACGTGGATGAACTTATAGTAAACAAATTCATTAAGTCTTATAAAGGAACAGTAATGATGGAAAAAAGAGATACTCTCCGTCCAAAACAAGTTGTGTTGATCATTAGAACATATTATTCTTTAATAAAAATACTTTACCACCTAAAACCTGATCTAAAAGGGAAAACTCTTCTTGAAAGTGAAGCACAATTTCTGATAATTCTTCTGTCCTATCCGCATAGACTTGAAAAAATCAATAAACTACTGTGGAGCTATTACGCAACAGATGTTGTTATTTTAATCAGAGATAAGAGACAAAACGTAGCTTTGTACACATACTTCCCTTATAAGAATCCTATGAGTTGTCAGAACGTCGAGCCCACTCTCATAGGTTTCTGGGACAATGGGACAATACTATCGAAAGATTTATATCCTAACAAAATGAGCAACATGCACGAATGTCCGCTATATATTTCTACAAACAAAGTATTTCATCCGACAACAGAACAAAAAATAACTGGAGAAATTATCAAAAGAGAAATCATCCGATTGCTCAGGGATGCTATGAATTTCACACCAATTATTTCGACCAGAGATTACCTCTCTATTGATTCTGATGACGCAAAGATTTGGTCGGAGACTATCAACGATATAATAACAGGTTCTTCAAACATATCGACCTGCAGTATTTTGCCATTCATGGATAGATTAGGCTTCCTTGACTATTCGGTACCATATTTTAGAGTAACATTAGCGTGGCTTGCTCCTCCTCTCGTGCCCAGGGATACTTGGTGGCGTCTTTTAACTCCATTAAATGGATATCTATGGCTGGTTCTCTTGCTTGTCGTGTTCATAGTCAAATCAGTGCCATTTATTATGGAATTTCCTTACGTGAAAAAGTTTGTAAAAAAACATTTCAAGGACGCTGATAAATTACATGGCGTTACTATAAGGATTTGGGCAATCATGATGGGACAACCAATTAGAGTACTGCCGAGACGTTTTAGAGATTTTTATGTTCTTGGTCTGTGGATATGGTTTACATTTGTCGTGCGAAATGCATATCAAAGTGTTTTGATTGGAGCCTTGAAATCTGACGTCACTGTTGGAAAGTTCACAAATCTTAAGGAAGCTCAAGATTATGGGTACAAATTCGGCGGTAGAGCTGGAGTTTTGGCTCATTTTGAACATGATCCATTGATACGTGAGGGATTCCAAATTATTCCAGAGTCCGAATTCGAAAAAGTTTTACAAGAGATACTGGGTGAAAGAAGAAAGTTTTTACTCGCCGTATCATTAGATTACGTATCTGCTTATTGTATATCCCAGGGGATTGATGACAATGATTGCGGATACGTTCTGCCAGACTCCATCATGACGATTCCTTCAATGGTATGGATGCCTAAGAACTCTCCGTTCAAAAGATCAATATCTCTGTGGCTTCCCCGTCTTCTTGAGAGCGGTTTACTTAACAAATATGATGTTAATATACCCATTATCACTACTTTAAAAATATCTGAACCAAGTCCTCTAACGAGTACTCAAATCAGCAGTTGTTTGCTCTGTCTTGTAGTTGGTTACTTTGTATCGCTTTTAGTGCTTCTTCTAGAGATAATAAAATATAAAATACTAAAAACCAAAGCATTTAAGAAATTTAAGCAACGAACGATAATTCGAAACATCTAAGTTTTAATTGTCGTGAAATTGAATTTTCACGGACCTTTAAATTAATTAAAATATTTCTGAGAGATACACAACTCATAGGATCTATAAATGTTTAATATTTCGTGATTTTATGTTGTTTTGATACAATTAAATACATTGATTTGTATAATTAAATTGATAAGGAAATTAGAAGTTTTTAAATAGTACAGAATAATTATTGAATCTTTATTAATGACGCAGATTAAAAAGTAAACATTTTTCAGTCAAAAAGTAAACCTTTTTATAGTTAAAACTTTTGAATTTTGCCTTTTACGTCATTAGGCATTAGACATGCGCGATATTTCACCGCTGTTATTGTTGTTTGAACTAGAACATGCTCTTTGTGTGAATATATGAATATTTTGAACAAAATAAAACTCACAGTTTAATAATGTACGTGATTTATTAATTTAATTACATTGATTTTTATTATAATCGTCATATCTAATTGACTTAAAGTTACACTACGTAATGATAAACACATTGTGCATTTTTGTGAAGCGTTAAAATTCTTTTATACTTAATTAAAATTTATCCATATCTTAAATATGAATTCAAAGACGTCAATTTAAAATATCAATACTAAAAGCATATTTAAACTTTTGATAAATATTAATAAAAATATGCCGTTATTTTGCACACTTTAGACACATTTAATTATAATTATATATAAACTTATCAATATGACTAGAGATATATTTTGTACAATGATATATTTATTTATTTCTACATAGTATATATGTAAATAAACATGTTATAAAAATATGATTTACAATTTTTAATACTTACAAGCACAAAATTTTAACATCTGGCACTAACATATTAAATAAAAATT